TTCCTCTGCCCCTTCGGAATCCAGCTTGTACCTCTGGGAGTTCTTGGTCCACATACTGTTGAAGCCTACCTTGTAGGATTTTGAGTATAACCTTGCTAGCGTGTGAAATGAGTGCAATTGTACGGCAGTTGGAGCATTCTTTGGCACTGCCCTTCTTTGGGATTGGGATGTAGATTGATCTTTTCCAGTCTTCTGGCCACTGTTGAGTTTTCCAAACTTGCTGGCATATTGAATGTAGCATCTTAACACTCTCCTTGCTATTCTTTGCTATTCTTTTCCCCCTTGTAACATTTCTTTACTGTCCAGCCTTCATATCCATGCACATCAATCATGAATACCATAGTATAAATCAGCAGTCTCCAATCTTTTTGGGGCCACAGACCAGTTGGGGGGGAGTGAGCTCCATGCATGGGTGGCAGGGGCACCCCTGCGCTCGTGCGGTGGGCGTGTTGCACCTGTATGGGGTGACAACCCCCTGCAGGTGTGACACACCCAACCCGCAAGTGCAACACACCCCCACCATGAGCATGACACCCCCACCGCAAGCATGACACCCCCCTGCGCATGTGTGCAGGGTGGGGGTGGATACTGTATCCACAGCCCAGTTCCAGTAAGTCCACAGACCGGCACTGGGCTGTGAACCGGGCGTTGACGACCCCTGGTATAGATGATCTTGGTGTTTGTGACACATCCTTATATTTAAAGATTTTTCTAATTCTTCATATTTATTCTTTCAAATGCTAGTCTTCAGATTTCTTGGCTGCAGTCTCCATTTGGATTAATGATTGAACCAAGGTTCACAAATTCCTTGCTCATTTTGGTTTCTTAAAAAAAGCAATATATGCAGTAAGAAATGAAAAGAATGTGCACTAGACTGGCTGTTTGTGCAGATTATCTGTTAAATCACTCTGCCATTTCACAATTTCCAACCACCTGTTAAGCTCTTCTGAGTTTAGGGGTGTCATGAAATTCTGAGTTCAGGGGTATCATGAAATATCAGTAGCTGTGCCCTGAACCGGTGGTATCTGCAACATGAGAACATCCCCCCTTTACAAACTGAAGGCATTGAAAATGCAGTTCTAAGCCTCTCTCCCAGGATGTTCCTACCTACATTTGCTCTCCCCTCCACACCTAAACATAAGCCTTGATGGTTTTAGACAGCTGTCTCTTCCTCTGCATAGAAAAGGGAGTCAGAAGGTGAACTGGAGTGGCAGATTACAATTACCTGGAGCATAAAGCAGTCCCTAAGTGTTGAGGTCTGCATTAAGCATCATTGTCAGCACTAAGGTAAGGAAATGAGCTATGACATACCAAATGCAAAAACAGCTTCTGCAAGGGAATGTGTGCCTGATTCACCTTTGGCTGAACTTCCTAACTGTAAAGGGAAGCAGACTTAGAAGAACACTTCAAAACCTCTGCAGCTAGAAAAGGCAAATTCTTGGACCGCGTTGCACCTCAGCTGTGGAAGGGACTTCCCTTAGAGCTGTGATTAGCTCCTGCTCTCACTGCTTTGAGTGTGCTGACGCATCTCTTGAAACTGGCATTCAAGGCTATAATTACACAATTAAATACTACAAGATTTACTGCAAGTACAGGGCAATTCAAAGTATTTGAAACTGTTATAAGTTGCCTTTGGTCCTTTTTAAGGAGAAAGATAAGATAAAATATTTTAAATAAATAAATGATATTCTTGGGCAACTCATCAAAACACTATCACGAGAATCCCAAATGTCTCATATTTATAAGTACATTGTTGGCAACAAGATCCTTATTACACTTAGCTTGAAGTAACCTCCACTGAAATCAGTGGAATTTACTTTCTAATAAACACAGTCAAACTTGGGTTTTAAGTTCAGTTTGTTGGAAAATAAAATGTGTAGCATAAAAATATCCCCCATTTTGATTCCCCCCAATAAATATTTTAGCTATTCTATTAAAGAGAAAATATGTCAGTGTTTTAGATAGCAAACAAAGTGAGATATTGCATTTCCAATGCAATATTAGCAACTGGCCCCTTTAAATAAAATTCAGGATAAACAAATTCATTTCCATTTGTTTATGCAGCTGTAACACCTGGCGCATCTGAGCGCTCTCTTTCAACTGCCTGCCTGTGTTTCTTTCTCTGAAATGCAAATTCAGGTTTTTAGACTGCGTTTTATTTTGTGTGCAATCACTTAAGAAATGAGAATTATGTGCACCAGATGCTCTTTGTATACGTAAGTTGCTACTCTACATATTTCAACTGATTCAGGATTTCAGAGAAAGGGAGAAGGAAGAGGGAGAAGCGGTATTACACTTATATTTTATTTTATTATCTTTGTTACAACTACAGTATAACCCTAAGCATGAATATTCAGAAGTCCCATTGATTTTAATAGGACTTACTACCAATGGCTGCTTACTATTCTATTAGAAATAAATGTTTACTAGTATTCAATTACAGTGGGATCATAGTTTTGCATTTACACAACACAGTATGAAAAAAATCACACAGGAGGAGCTGAAAGACAGCTCTTTGCAGTTTCTGGACTGCCCATGACATATGCCAATGACATCGTTAGACTGGGGTCCAGGAGCACCCCCAATATGCCAATGACATAATTAATTACAAACGAGTTGTGTGTGCTTATGGACACATAGCACCTCTGTGGAAAGGCACATGCACCATATTGTTGCTAGAATCTGTTGAGATAATAACAGAATTGTAACGAGAGTAGAAATGTCAGTCAGAGGATCACGTATAACAAATAAACAATGGCAGCATTTTTAGACAGAAGGTACATACGCTCTTCACAGAGACGTCCCATCCATCCTTCTGGGCAGGAGCACGCATTCGGTCGCTCACAGACACCACCGTTCTGACAGGGGAACCGGCAAATAGCTGGAGAAAAGAACAGCATCAAGTTAGAACATGATGTATTTAAATGGAGATAATGCTACGGGACTGGATTCTTCAAAGTATTCTTGGCATTAGGAAGCTTATGGGGGAAAAAAATCAACATTCAAACTTGTATTGTCTAGGAAAGCTATACCTGTTGAAGCATAGTGATTCTGAAACTTTTATTGCCCATAAGAACCATATCTAATGAAGTCTGTGTTTTAATGGAGCTACGAAGTGTTTCCTTAAAATTTAACCTCACCAATTCAAGTCACTTTATCAGGTTACCACATTAGCCTGGGAGCCCGACTCCAATATAGATTGGAAACAGTAATCCTGATGCATCACGTTTATTGTAAGTATTACCAAAATAATGCAGGAGTTGAAATTACGAAAATCTGACCTATATTTTAGGCACTACATTTTTTGAAGCAGAAGTGTATTTGCAATTGCACAAATGTACAATATGCTGCCTTCTAGTGGATGCAAACTATGATTTACTGCAGTCATTTGCAATACAATATGTCATTTTATAATGAGAAAAAAGGCATGTTTCAGGAACACCAGGTAAATTTGTATTTACAGCTATGTCCCAGCTAATCCACAGTATGTATATCAGAAATAATACACACAAATGTTTGGATTCTAGTTGCCAACCACAAATAATAACAGGCTCGTCTGTCGTCTGGCATTCTATGTATGAAGAATATCATGTTAAAAATATTATTTTACCTTTGTTTGGGGTGTGTGTGTGTGTTTTCTCTACAACTGAAGATAAAATATGGATTGTGGTACTTATTTTCTTGGTGAGAACCTTCAGTGGAATAGAGGGGAGATGATGAGGCCAGGTATCAGCCACTTGAAAATTCCTGCTAGATATATAATTTTAAACTAGTTTATGTCATCTGAGATGAGGAATTCCTGCATGCATTACTTGAAAGTAAGGAAAAGGAATGGGAAGTGGTGATCTCATATGGAATCACTCTGAGTAGTGAATAATTATGTATGTTGTGAAACTACTGGTCAAACTTTTGATGTTCTATGTTCTGAGACTGTGAAGCACTTTTCTATGTTAGTTTTCTATAGAAAAGTTTTCCAGAAATATAGTAGTCTGAAACTTTAAATGAGAAAGCATGTTCTCTGCAAACCATTAAAAAATCAGCAGAGGTGGGACCAGAGGAAGGAAGGAAGGACGGAAGGAAGGAAGGGGCTGTGTTACCATGGCCAGATCAGACCTCTCAAGAAATGGTTGTGGCTGGTGCACTAGTTTTAATTGTGCAAATGCATTCCTGGACACTGCTGTAACCTGGGTATCCAGGCTTAGTTATGAATCCAGGAACATCCCCAAGCTGCGCATCTGTTTTCAGAGGAAGCGCAACTCCATTCAGTACAGGCTGCTTCCCTGTTCCTTGATTTGCCCTTCAAAAGACAAGGAGTACCAAATAATTGATACACATTTTTTTGGTAGATGCTCAATATTATGTTCAGACTCCTCTACACCTTCTTTTTACCCTCAATCCCCCAAAGCTTTTTTTAAACAATGAAGTAGACTTCCAGTCACTTGAAGATTTTGGGAAGAGCTAATATAGTCTGCTGGAGAAGGTTGAAGAAACCACCCCCAATCCAAAACATGAGGATGTGGCCTGACATTGTCTTGCTGTCAGCAGGGAAAAGGATGTCAGGGAGCCCATAGCAGAGGTCAGCATGAATATTGACAACATCAACATCATAAGACCATAAGAACAGCCCTGCTGGATCAGGCCAAGGGCCCATCTAGTCCAGCTTCCTTTATCTCACAGTGGCCCCACTAGATTCCTCTGGGAGTACACCAGACAACTCGATACCTGTCTCCTGATACCCCTCCCCTGCATCTGGCATTTTGAGGTACCTTCCTTTGAAGTCCAGAGATTGTACATCCCCATCATGGCTTATAACCTGTGATGGACTTTTCCTCCAGGAATGTGTCCAATCCCCTTTTAAAGGCATCTAAGCCAGACACCATCACTACATCCTGTGGCAAGGTGTTCCAATTGGACTAACAACACGTTGTGTAAATAAATATTTTCTTTTGTCTGTTTTCACTCTCCCAACACCCAATTGGAGCGGATGTCCCCATGGTTCTGGTGTTACCTGAGAGGGAAAAGAACTTCCCACTATCCACTTTATCCATCCCCTGAATTATTTTATACATTTCAGTCATAGTCCCTCCTAAGGCCCCTTTTCTCTAGACTAATCAGCAGTCAAGATGGCCTATAGCAGTATTCCTCAACCTGGGAGGTGGAACCCCCTCAGAGGGTTGTGGAGTGTTTTCGGGGGGGGGGTACCTTATATCTATTGTAGTTATTATTAAATCATTTCTTCCTTGACCTTTTGGAACCAGGTATTAAAGTTAGTGTGTATGTTTATGTGTGTGCATGAGAATGTAATGGGAAACAGGCCCTTTGGAGGAGCAAGAAGCTTCTACTTCCTGAGAAGGGATGATTTTACCCCATTAAAATGCCTTTTAATGCAAACGTGGCAGGGTGTGTGTGTTGCAGATTAACTTGGCTATTATAAAAGGGGGTTGTGACTTGAAAAAGGTTGAGAATCACTGTTCTACAGGATCCCCTCTTGTGTTCTTTGCCATAAACAGACAGAGGTCAAGCAAAGGAAAATTCCAGAACCTGTGATAGGTTAATGTTAAATTTTATAAAGCTTGTAGCAGAACTAATTTCCTTTTGTGGAAGTAGCAGTAGGCTGAAGAGTACATTGGCATCTTAAAGAGCAACACTTTAATCATGTTAGTGTAAATAGACTATTTCATCAGATGCATGCAATTTTAATCTTAGCTTCAAGTATATTATATGCATATTGTTGTAGATGGGGATTGTAAACAGAGAGGCCAGATGAGAAGGAAATGCATAAACTGGAGTTAATGTTAATTATAGGACTAATTAACTATGGCCATTCACCAAAAAGGAAATAGTACAAATCTTAAAAATATGGAAAAATGCTGTTGTTGCATGTAAATAAAAAGATGGCTTTAGAACCAAGATACTATTCCCTGGAATATGTTGTCTTCCCTTTTAGCTGAGCAAAGCAAAGCAAAGATCTGTGCCAGATGGATTTTTCCCCCACATTCAAAATCAACTGTAGAAAACTTTGGGGACTTAATTTCAACAACAATGTGACAGCTACATGTACAAAAGGTACAAAATGCTGATCTTGTACAGTTGTAATAGCAAATACCTTTGCAAGCTGGGGGTGTAGTCCAGGTTCCATTCTCTAAACAGATACTTCTAAGGGAGCCTTCCAGCATGTATCCACTGTAGCATGAGTAGGTGACCATGTCTCCATACTGATAAAATGTTCCACGGATCAAAGCATTTTCAAGATGAGCAGGTGGCCCACAAGATATCTCTAAAGAGAAACAACAATAAAACAAGGTTAACTCCTTCATAAAGATCTCATAAACCCAGTCTTGATTTCAATGCATTTCTGTGATTTCATTTGTACATCTCATCCTTCATCTGGAGCACACTTTCAGACTTTCTTCTTCTTGCTCAGAAATTGTACATGTTTTCCACTTATTTTCACACTTTTCCTAACATACCCATGTGTGGTGTTTACCCCGTGGCCTCTGCTTTGTTTCACCAAACCCAGAGCCTCATGAAAATATCCCAACACACCCTTTAACACGCTGCCATCAGATGATCTCTTTATCAACTTATATTTCCTATGTAAGACTGAGGTCCATTCAGTACTGAGCTTTTAAACAGAAATAAGTTTATTGATTGCAAGTTGTTTTAGTTCTTAAGCACATTCTTAAAGTTACACAAAGTTTTAGTATTTTACTTTAACCTCTTCTATCTTAATTAATACAGGTCACACTCTGACTAATCACTCCTTAAACACTCTCTCTGCCTCAAACCCCAAACTCTTTCTCTCTTCTCTGTCTCTGACTGAACTCCCTAGACTCTGACTCACCCCTCCCTTCTAGTTTATCTGGCTCCGCCTCCCAACAGCTCTCATTGGTGCATGCAAACAATCTTCTACCTGAGCCAAAGCAGGGTGATCGCTACACCATGTTTGCACACATTGTCTCCATTATCTAAAATATCTATATGTATGTTTTTTTAACTTACCCTTTTCTAGCCATGCAAATGTTTAAACTGTAGGCATGACCTATTATTTATTTAAAATATTTATACCCCGGCTCAAGAGGACCCAAGGCAGCTTATAATATTAAAAACAATGTAACAACTGGAAGGCGAGACGACAAACAAACAAAAAACCAAAATACACACAAGCAGCTATCTTACTCTTCAGCAGCCATTCACAGAGAAAAAGCCTGACAGAAGACAAAAATCTTTGCCTGGCTGTGGAAGGACAGGAAAGAAAGGGCCAGTTTGGTCTCACGTGGGAGGAGGTCCAAAGTTCGGGCAGCAATGGAGAAGGTTCTCTCTCATGTCCTCGCCAAATGCCCCTGTGAGGGCGGCGGGACAGAGAGAAAGGCTTCCCCGGATGGTTTTAAAACTTGGGCAGGCTTATAAAGGGAAATGTGGTATTTCAAGCCGCTTGGACCCACGTTGTTTAGGAGTTAAAAAGAACTGAATTACGTCTGAAACAGATTGGCAGCCAGTGGAGCTGTTGCAATAGGAACGTTACATGGTCCTTGCAACCAGTCCCAATTAATAAACCGGCTGCAATATTCTGGATCCCCTGAAGTTTCTGATCTGATATGTATTTTATTTCTCCAAAACATGGCAGGCATGTGTGTGAACTTCTGAGGCAAGGTGTGATTTACCTTACAACAAGTCTCAAGAGATTTCAGCATCCTGATATATAAACACAGATGACTAAAACTAACCTCCCTTCTATTTTGCATACAGGGGAAAAGAAAGTTCTGCTCCAAATCTTCTTAGAGTACAACCCCATTGCCCTGTTATGTACAACTGAAAGAAGGGAAGAGAGTGCGATGAAAGGAGTTGCAGTCAGTGGGAAGGGAGATGTATGAAAAGATACATCTGTACTTTAGATTGTGTTGTCTCAGTGTTTCTCTCAAGTTTGTTGGGAGAACAAATGAAGGAGCTGGTAGCCAAACAACTGAATGGCCCAGGCATAGAGCATGGCAGCTAGACAATCTGTCCTTCCTCCACAACTCTTGGCACTATTTTATAGTTTGGCCACACATACATGCAGGAGTCAACTACAGAATGATGTGTGATGCATTTGTAGCTGAGTTGCACATAGCGGCTGGCTGTTTTGTTTTTCCTGGCAGGCAGGGCATAATGGTGCAATGGGCATTGGGAGTAATGTGGGAGGCAGCTGAGGGCCCTATTCTTCTTGCAAGCTGTTTTGAGTGGAGAGGAGCAAAGTGGGAATAGCAGCTGAGTTGTGGGGGCATGAGACTACATGTTTTTGTTTGTCTGTGTGAATGGATGGAACTGTGTGTGCATATTTAGATGTGTTCATGTGCAGATCAATGAAAGTTGGGAAGGTAAATGAATGAGATTTGTACTTCTGTGAATGGATTGACATTGGCATCGGTATGTGTGGTAAGGGAAAAAATGAAAAGTCAAAAAGGAAAACGGTATCTCCATCCACTTTTCATTATCATTAGTATGGTAAGTTGTACATGCCCATCTTCTACTTGGAGAATATAGGCTTTGGTTTTAGAAAGACTGCTTATTTCCGCCTTTGAAGATTTTCCTTATTAACCAAAAGTTTCATCAGTTTGGCATTCCTGGCAACATCTGTACTACCTATTGAGTTGGATGGGTCCTAATGAGAATGAGCAAAACCATGAGAAAACCAGAGACCTCCTGACCAGGATGTAGAGCCTAAGAACAAACAATATGAAAAATGTTGATTTCATTTGCATAGTAACTTACATGCAAGGTAGAACCTCCAAGGTAGAAGACTAGGTACTATTTCAAGACCTGCCTGACTCAGATCACTATTGTTATGATATTTCTTTTATGTGTTCATGCACATGTACTGTACCAGTTTACACAAATGATACACTTTTGTATTCTTGTTTCACTGGACAGAAAAGCCATGAACCCTTCCCAACAAAAGTTGCCTGACTCAGATCACTATTGTTATGATAATCAATTCTTTTATGGGTTCATGCACATGAATATGTACTGTACCAGTTTACACAAATTACACACTTTTGTATTCTTGTTTCACTGGAAAGAAAAGCCATGAACCCTTCCTAACAAAAGTAAATGTGAACATGTTTTTTTTTTTTAACATTTACTTACTTTCACATTTGGCTGTTGTTGGAGTCCATGCCTCATCAGGATTACAAACGATGACAGATGGCCCCCGAAGTAGGTAGCCTTCTCTGCACTTCATAAAGACTTTTTGCCCAACATGAAAAGTTGTCTCTGACAGGAGGGCGTTTTCTGGGATTATGAAAGGCACAGGGCAAGGGTTTGCTGTTGAAGAGCAATGAAGCAAGAAAAGAATCATTTGCGAGGACTCATCATACGACTTTTCCTTAATAAAATTATACTGCTATGAAGATTCAGACTTATTTCTAACTGATCCACTACTTATGAACAACATGTATCCATCAATTCTATGTAGTTTTATGTGTTGAGACAGTAGGCTATTTTCCCATGCCCAGTGAGAAGTAATAACCCTTTCCACAATAATGGGGGAAGTGGCACCATAGGGGGGAAAAATCACTGTTTGTTGAGACAGTAGGCTATTTTCCCATGCCCAGTGAGAAATAATAACCCTTTCCACAGTAATGGGGGAAGTGGCACCATAGGGGGAAAAATCACTGCTGTTACAGCACAATGATACATCATGAGGGAATTTCTAAATTAGATTCCCTGAAATTTTTTAGAGTTGTGGTCCCCAACCTTTTTAACCTCACAGACTGGTTGGGGAAGGCAGGGTAGGCTATTTTCCCATGCCCAGTGAGAAATAATAACCCTTTCCACAGTAATGGGGGAAGTGGCACCATAGGGGGAAAAATCACTGCTGTTACAGCACAATGATACATCATGAGGGAATTTCTAAATTAGATTCCCTGAAATTTTTTAGAGTTGTGGTCCCCAACCTTTTTAACCTCACAGACTGGTTGGGGAAGGCAGGGCACCCCGCGCTTGTGCGCATGCATGAAGGCTCTCTCTCTCTCACACACAGGCGCATACACGCACATGCATGTGTGAAGGAGCGGGAGGGTGTTTGGGTGAGTGTGCATGCTCATGCGCATGCACAAAGACTGGAGCGGTGCTCATGTGGGTGCGTGCAGACCAGTTGGGGAAGGCAGGGCACCCTGTGCTTGTGTGCATGCATGAAGGCGCTCTCTCTCTCTCTCTCATGCAGGCGCACACACTCACATGCATGTGTGAAGTAGCGGGAGGGTGTTTGTGCAAGTGTGCATGCTCATGTGCATGCACAAAGGGTGGAGTGGTGCTCATGTGCATGTGTGAAGGGTGGGGCGGTGCTCGGAGGGCACTCGTGCGCATGCGCGGAGGTGTGGGGGAGTGCTAATGTAGGCACAGCCACAAAGGTGGGGGAGTGCATGTGGGGTTGGGGGGAGATCTGTCTCCATGGCCCGGTTGGGCTCAGGCCACGGACCAGCACCAGGCTGCGGACCGGGGTTTCATGCTCTGTTCTAGAGCATGCATGGACCAGCACCAGGCTGTGGACCGGGGTTTGGGGAGCTCTTTTAGAGCATAAAAGAAGCTTCTCTAGGTTGGGGGAGCAAATTGACTTAGTGTTCGGTCACACTTCCCAAAAGAACTCTAGTTATATCGCTTTGGCTGTTATTTACATCATTTCATAATTTTTTTGGTCACGTGATGTATGGCCAACATAGATTCATTTGCTGCAGCAATTGGTGTTTTCCCCCCACAACATATTGCTTCATTTCTGATCATTTCAGTGTGTGTGAATGTTGCTGTCAATTTACTTTCTTTCTGAAGGGGTTGGGGTTTGGGGCACTTAAATTTTTTTTTAAAACGGGAATTGATATCTTGCTAGTAGCCGCCACCACCACTGACACAAAAACAGCATGAATACATTACTCAGAAGGAGACAACCTTTTCCCCGCTTCCAGGTCAAAGAGGGCTTGAGATTTCCAGCTTTGAATTGTAAAGAAAAGAATGTTGCATTTTTAAAACACTGCTCTTCACAATACTTTGGAAGCAATGTCGACTAAAGCTGCAACAACACCGGTTCTTTTGGAGCAGGCTTTTGTGGTTTAGGGTCGCTTGAGGTTCGGTGGAGGTGCAATATGCCATTTGGTGTGATCTGTGCATTCAAATACCAACACCAAGTGACCTTAGGTCAATATAGTCTGGGTCCTCCCACCATCAGTTTCTGGTATCATGAAGTGGCTTTGTAAAAGAGATACTTCAAGATATTGACAAATTGAACATTTCCCCTGCTCCTCTGCAGAAGGGCTAGGGAAGTGAAATTATTATTTTTCTTCTGCTAGACCATCACTGATGCACTGAATTACTGTACTTAGATTAATTTAATCTAAGCAACTCAGTGCATCAGCATACAGGAGCAGGGCGCTAGACCATCACTGATGCACTGAATTACTGTACTTAGATTGATTTAATCTAAGCAACTCAATGCATTAGCATAGAGGAGCAGGGCAAGTGTTTGATTTGCCAAAATCCTGAAGTGGGTTGCTAATTAAGCCACTTCATGATATCATAAATTAACGGTGGAAGGAGCCTTGGTAGCTTTGATGGCTGCAAGGCTCAATTTTGGTCTGTTCCTAGTGATCACATGCACTGATGGAGCAAATTAGAGTGCACCTATCCACAACAAAAAAGTAGAAGGCACTGACAGATACTCAAAAAGGTGCAGGTAGGGGTGCAGGTAGGGATGGATTGGTTTGATCTAATTATCAAGTTTTCTGATGGCTGGGAAGAAAGAGCAAACCAACGCACCCTACAGTGCACCAAATAGCGGGACATATACCCTTCTGATTGAACCTTAACAAGTTCAATGGAAGGTGCTCAGTGAAGATCCTCTGTTCAATTTAATCTTAGTTCAGATAGTGTGGATACCTGGGGAAGGACTCCAAAGGTAACTCTAACATAGGGACAGGTCAATATAGGATCAAATGCTTCTTCAGGTTCCTGTGTCCTGAATATTAAAGGGCTTTAAAAAGAAGCTCCAGCAAATTGAATTATGCTTAGATATGAACTGAACGTAGTTCTTTCAATACCTGTGAAGTATGTTCATACTGATGGTTCTGGTTAATAGATTGGTGGCTGTGGTGTTTGTTTGTTTGTTTGTTTATTTGATTGATTTTAATCTAACTATGCTTCCTCCACAGGCTTCAAAGCCTTCCAGTTCTTATTAGGAAAAAAAAACTGCACAGAGGCCTGGGTTAAAAAATCTCTGTGCCTGCATCACTGCACTAAGCCAAACCCTTTCACCAAAACAGTTATAAAAAAGACCCTGGAAAATCTGAATAATTATTTTTATATCATGTGAAATTTGGCTCAAAGCATCTTTACTGCTTTCCTGAATTTAATTAAGGTGTTTGTGGCAAATATTTCTATTATTATTGCAGGAGAGGGAAGAAGATAGAAAGTGCAAAATGCCTACCTAAGGAGAAATGCTTTGAGTGACTTCTCAGAATATCTGTACTCTTGGAGAATATTCAAATGTGTATATTTAAACCCATAGTCTTTTAAGTGTGTTTTGTTACATGGTAACATACATTAGAGATCACTGGTTTCTTCTCTTATGTCTTCTCTTATTTATGTTGGTTAAATATAGACAAACATCTGAAGAAAACAGACTTACTCTAAATTAGAAATGTTTTACTGAAAAACAAAATCATCAATAATGACACAGCTAATCTTCAAAATTACATACGTTTGCACAGTGGCATTGGATGGCTCCAAGTTCCAGTTTCTGTGCACTCTGCAATAGGTTCTCCTTCCAAGGTATATCCTTTGTTGCAGTAATATGCGACTCTGCTGCCAACAGTATTGTTCTCATAGACAGCATTCCCATTCTCAATAAATTCTGGATCCTCACATCTGGTTTCTAAAAGGTGATATATGGCAATTAACAATTGTGACCATTCTTCCCCAATCAACCATGTAAAAACAATAACAAACACATTAGCAGAACAAGGAGTCTTCTGTGTTAATCTACACTCAAAGAGAAAAACATCAAATGCCTAGAGCTACTTGGAAGAAGTCATATCTTTCAGGGCTCTGAACAACCATTTCAGTCTGTATGTGGATTTCTATGGCGAATCTATGAATCTCTCATTTGTTTAGAAACTACAGCTAGGATCCAGATGCCTCTGCAAGAATAAGCATCTCTTCTCAAACCCCTCTGTGCACCCCAAAAACCTGCTCTATAGCATGGGGGACTGTATTTCTTAACACTTTTAGATGAGTTATCAAGACTTTTATTTTGAAGGACTGCTGTGGGAGGTGGAAGGAAAGAACATCCATGTCGGAAACAGAAATATACCACTGGATCTTGGCCAGTGTATTAATTCAGCAGACTGGTTCACTAGCAACTCCAGGTATATGAAAATTAATGCATCCATAAAGACAAAATACAACCTATTACTCACCTTCACAGGAAGGATGAGGTTTACTCCATGATCCATTTGCCAAGCAGGTGATGTTGCCAGGTCCAACCAGATGATATCCAAAATTACATACAAAGGAAACTTTACTTCTGTATGTATTTTCGTTGGCGATGGGAATGGCATTTTCTACTGTTGGGGGAGGTTCACATCTTATGCCTAAAAAAGGAAAATAATAAGTCTTCTTTATGATTTTGTTGGCATTTCATCTAATGCTCTACAAAAAATATTACTCTCTTCTTTACAACTGGTTATTAACATAGTGGTTTTTAAGAACTGATTACATTTGGTGCATTTCTTGACATATTTAGATTGACTATCAAGGCACTAAACATGGTGGACATTGGATTTGATTTGTGCTATTCTCACTCATGTGCAGGAATAAGACTGCTAATTTAATCTGTCTCTAGATCCTTCAATGTATTTTTAGTTGTTGTTATTTCTAATATTCACTGTGATATGAACTCATTCAAGTTGAAACCTAAATTATGAACCTACAGCTAAACAACATTAAAGTAAAATTGATGTATAATAAAGGCAGAACAGTTTTTTTTAAAAAAATAATTATGGGCATTTTATCAACATTATCTTTTAATTAAAAATATAGATGCAGGATAATGTAAAAACCAGTATGGTATATTGATGAATGGGTTGGTTTATGATTAGGGAAATCTAATTCAACCCCCCACTTAGACAGTAATGGTCTCTCAGTCTACCTTGTTTCCAGTGATGTTGTGAAGACATCATGCCCTAAACAAACATGCCCTAAAAGAAGCTGGACATGAAATTCTATTTCAAAATACTGAAGTACTGGACAACACCAGCAATTGTTATATTAGACTACACATGGAAGCCACTGAAATCCACGAACATTAGCACAACCCCCCACTTAGACAGTAATGGTCTCTCAGTCTACCTTGTTTCCAGTGATGTTGTGAAGACATCATGCCCTAAACAAACATGCCCTAAAAGAAGCTGGACATGAAATTCTATTTCAAAATACTGAAGTACTGGACAACACCAGCAATTGTTATATTAGACTACACATGGAAGCCACTGAAATCCACGAACATTAGCACAACTTCAACGAAGTACTGGACAACACCAGCAATCGTTATATTAGACTACACATGGAAGACACTGAAATCCACGAACATTAGCAGAACTTCAACAAAAAAGGAAGAAAGTTTAAAACTAAACAAAGCCTGGCTCCCAGCACTGAAAAATACAGCCTGTGAAAGGTCAGCGAACTCTACCCAGCTACAAAGATTGGTGATCACTGCACACAAAAGACCAGCTAACAACACCCATCAACCACAGTGACAGATAATCTCTCCCCCTTATCACAAGAATATACCCACAAAAACCCACACTGATCACCACAATCACACATCTCCTGAAAAAGACAAAAGCTGATCCTACAGCTATAAATACTCAACTATTTATTTATTTATTTATATCCCGCCTATCTAGTCACATAAGACCACTCTAGGCAGTCCAAACAAACTGCACTAGAGCACAGACAGAGTTCTGACTCCTGTCCTCTGAAGATGCTGGCCACAGAGACTGGTGAAACATTAGGAAGAACAACCTTCAAAACATGGCCAAAGAGCCTGAAAAACCTACAATAACCATCAAATCCTGACAAGTTAAATAGTCAGAAAGAATTCTATTGGCTTTGCACAACTTATGCCCCAAATTGTGTTACTGGGGTGTGTGATTGTTCCAGCTTTCTGTTGCATGTTCAGATGCACACAGATCATATGCTTGGTTGGGCACCCAGGCACCAAAGAGATGGCCAGAAAACTGCTTGCTCCAATTCCCTTAGATACACAGTATCTTGCAGTAGGATTTTATCTAGTGTTACATGAAATTCTGAATTAAGTATCATAACAAAGACAAGAAGTTAATTAAACCCATGGTTTTTATTAAATGCTAACATAAAGTTCAAATCAAAGACCGTCTGAACAAATTCAAGTAACATCTCAGTATTATATTACTCAGCAAGTATCTCAGTTTTTTAGTTGAGGGACAATAAAAGTGAAATGCAAAGTGCTGGACAAACATGATGGAGTGGAGGACTGAAGGAATAATGGTCCAATTGTCACCTGCACACTGCATCTGCTTTAGTCACTGTCTATGTGAATTTAAGAAGGCCTTTTGTAATAAGGCCAAGCGGGTGCCTATAAGATGTCCACAAGTACCACCTAAGCACAACAGTACCCTCCCACTTATGTTCCCCAGCATCTCGTGTTGCCTTTGACACTGGAAACAATAAACAGATTTCATCAAAATTGTAGCCACTGACAGCCTTATCCTCCATGATTCTCAGTACTCCCCTATTACACTTTCCAAGTTAGCAGTCATTACTACAGATTGTGCCAGGTGACATCATTTGATTTGTTCTTTCTCTTCATGGAAAATGGTGTATATGTCTGCTCATTGTGTTTGTAACTCTCCTGTGTTTCCTCCCAAATTATTCTGGTTTCTTTTGTTACCATGAAAACATGTATTTAGGAGGCAAAGGCAGAAGAGAAGAAAATTGGAATAGCCATCTTCTAGTGATTGGTCCTTATAGCCACTAGCAGTGAAAGGTGCATGTTATAAAAGGCTTTTCACTCATTTGCTATAGATCTTCCTTGAAGAGATTCTACTGAAATGCACCAGTTATACTTACTCACACACACAGGGGCTGAGGGGCTCCACTTCTTGTTCACATGGCAAATCCTTCGAGTTACTCCCTGCAACTCAAATCCCTGATTGCAGCTGTAAAGAATCTCATCTTCAAACAAGAAATCTTTCCCACTAATGGAACCATTATCTATTGTTTCAGGAGGCCCACAGGATATTTCTGCACATGAACACAAAGCTGATGCTTTAATTTTGTTTGAATAGGAACAACTGTCCATCCCTAACCCCTCCCCTCATTTCCTCCTTTTTGAACACAAAGCTGATGCTTTAATTTTGTTTGCTGGATAGGAACAACTGTCCATCCCTAACTCCTCCCCTCAATTCCTTCTTTTTCTTACTAGTCCAGCATGAATCACTTTGTGGCTCATTATTGTGAAAAAGTATGCAGTGATTTATTACAAGTAGCCTGAGTATGCAACATACTGCATACACATAATGAGTGAGGAAGTCAGACCTAAAATACAGTAGTTTTGATAGGGTAACAGATCCACAGTGTTCCACTCTGCACAATACATGTTTCAATAGAAACAAGCAGATTAAAGGTGTTTAGTAATATCTTACATGAGAGGGTTGAAATCTTAGATAATTAAATCTTAAATATAATGTGCTTTGAGTTATCAGATCCTAGCCCAAACATGTGCAGGCTGGGAAGAAAACTAAAATTAAAACATACAAAACATTAATGGCCACTAGGAGGTGCACCATGGTATGTAATTTGGATGAATATAGAGAAGCTTTAACTTTACAGTAACTGCATTCTGCAGTTTTGTGGACAAGGAAGAGGCAGCAAGGGGAGGTTTTAATCCCATGCAAGAACAGCAATTTTTTTGGGCAAAGTGAACAGTTGTAAATTGTAAGACTTCCAAGTCCAAAGTTTGCAAAGCTAAATTGTTTTTAATATTTTCTGGGCAAAAACAACAATGCAGCCCATTTTATTCATCTTAATGGACATTTTATTCTTTATTCATATATCCATGTATGTTGAAGCTGAGTTAAATGTGCAGAAAAATTAATGCATAACTCACTTTTGCAAACTGGTGTTGTTCCACTCCATAGCTTATCTGCTTGACAGATACGTTCAGCATCACCCTATCAGACAAGCCAAAAATAGTGTGAAATAGCAACATTTTTGTCACATTTTCATATAATTTGAAAAACAAAGGCAATCAGAAAAACGTTTGCTTCAATTTTTCCATGTCCTAGTGGATGCACAAAACCAAATTGGGAGCATTGAATCTAACTTTTCACTTAGTTTTGCATGGCAATAGCTTCATATTCAGCATGTGGCTAGAAATGTTACTCTTCTGAAGTTGTATATCATAATAAATAAAATTATTTTCATAAATAAATATTACCTTGCTTCTTTGTAAGTTGGTTTTTAACAAGCAATGAAAAAATTGACTCATGTTTTCATTTTGTGTATTTTTCATTTCATTTCATTTTTCATTTCATTACCATTGGTATTCTAGTTGACGTTGTTAGCAACTAGAAACAAAGGATTCTTCACTGCTTTTATGCCCCTATTCTTTCTTCATTATTTTTCATTTCATTACCATGGGTATTCTAGTTGACGTTGTTAGCAACTAGAACAATGTCAAGTTTTTTTGACAAAGGTTTCTTCACCGCTTTTATGCCCCTTTTCTTTCTTCATTACGGAGGAAAATTTGTTATTTCTAAGTAATGCCTTTTGATTAAAAGCCCCAATTTTGGCATAGGTTTCTATACAGATCCTGGGTTTTTAGCTCTTAATTAGGAATCCCAAGTGAATCCAATCAAGTCTACATGTGTGCTGCTGGAAAACTTGGAGAAAACATTATGCTGTAGAACAGTGGTTCTTAACCTTTGTTACTCGGATGCTTTTGAACTGCAACTCCCAGAAACCCCAGTCAGGACAGCTGGTGGTGAAGGCTTCTGGGAGTTGCAGTCCAAAACTCCTGAGTAACCCAAGGTTAAGAACCAGTGCTGTAGAGCAAGTCAAATTTTTAGTGTGGATATGAGGGTTTGCCATTAAAGAGCTGACTCAGGATCAAGGTAGATTTGATTTAAATCAAATTGATATTCAAAACTGGGTGTTTTGATTATTTACATTTTTAATTTTTACATTTTTAAAAAAAGTATCATTGTGATTTAGATCACTTTTATTTTTAAAAAAATCAATTGATTTTTTATCTACCATGCCCAGGATCCACTGTCCAGGAATACTCAGTATCCCCTCTCCAGTTTCTCCTTATACTCTAAAGAGAAAGTTGACTACACATGGTACCACTACAGATGGTACTAGTTATATGATTTCCATTTGGAATGAGATTCCCTCTCCCACGCCTTTGTTATAGATAGATAAATAGCATGCCCTATGGATTTTACTGTAACATGCTTCCAGATAAGACATTCAGAATTAGATACAGTATTTAGATGATAATAACTCAGCTTTAATATGTCATAGTCTCTTTTACTCTCACCCTACTTATATTAAGGAAAGCTCCATGCAAACAGCTGTTATTACCTGCTATGCCTCGACTATAATGAAGATAATATTTAATAATGATTTAACAGTTGAGTATTGGTAATTGCATTACTATATTTCTCAGCAAGAAAATGTAGCCACTTTGCTTCTCATAATGCTGGTGTAGGATTTGATCTTAATGAAACTGTTTCCTTAAAAATAAAGAGTAGCAAAAATACGCAAGGAATAAGGAAAAAACAAGAACACACTCAGCACCCATTAGGCTGTCCATATGCTCAAATTATCACTGGAAACTCTCCTGTGATTCTCCCTAACTTTTGAAAAGAGGCAAGTGGTTATAGGAAGACGATCTTTTTACCTATGGGAACTGCACATGGAATTATTTATCTAGCATGGTTCATATAATAAGTGAATCTGGTGACTTTTTGCCCCATGCATTCCAACATTACAAATACTAATACAAAACTGTGAGTACAATGTATTAGCATCGATTTTTTTAAGCAAAATGGCACTGTCCACGCACAATAAGAAGGCATCAGCAGGCCTTGAAGGACCCCACGGTTTGCAGATCTTACACAAAATCTTTTCTGGGGAAAACCCCTAAAGCAGGGCATCATAAATAGCCCAAAGATGACTAAACATACTCAGTGGGCATGGAATCTTGAATAGAGGTTGGAACACAGTACACTGGAAGACAGCATTGCTGCCCAGGTGGCGTCCTGAACGGGTACACTCCGTATAGCACCATTTTCTTCAGAAGGCTTCTCCATGTATACTAGCTAGATTTTAATCTGTTATTTTCTCTATTACTTCTTCTGATCTGGCTGTATCTTCTATGATCTTGGTTCTGTTAACCAAGTTTTATGATATCTTACATTTTTAAGATGGCTGACATTACCCTGAGGCTATGAAGAGAACATGCATACAAACAAGTGAACAGTTTTCCTCCAAAATTATTAAATTGTGATTACTAACTACGCGTGTGTAATATTTTAGGCAGGAATTATATTGTCTTATGCAATCATTCAAAGGCAATCATGCAAGAGCTTCTGTCTGTCTTGGAGGTCCCTTGTTGCACAATTGATTATGTACCTTGTAGCACAACAGACAAACAGCAAAATGCAAAAATGGCATGTGTATTTGCACCTATGTGCACAATTTTCCTCAAGAGGGTTTTGGTCTTACTGTTTAGGTATTTTTCACCTTTTAAGACAAATCTATGACTTACATCATTTAGCAGGCTGATCTAAGCAAGCAAGGGAGACAGCCAAGAGTGTCCTAAAAATCTAGAGTGGACTGTACCCTGCAATTTGGAAGTGCCAGCTGTGAATGCTTCCTCATGTAACAATGTCTTAGAAGAATTAATATTATCTAACCTTCTCCCTATGGGGCCAGTTTCCTACTTGCAGAATGTTTCTATATGGTAACCCATACAAAGATAAGATCCATGAAGTGGAACAGAACATTCATTTCAGAACTGCCACCTGATTATGCTGCATACGTAGATCCAGCATGTTTCCTATTTTATAGGTTTGGAAGTATAATTAAAGGGCTAGTTCTCAAACTGTTATTTGTACTCAGGTATGTAGGTACAAATTACCAGTCTAGTACACCAACTTTAAATGAAACACAAATGTATTGTTTGTTAGTTAGATCTTTAAAAGCAGAAAAATACAGTTGCTAATAAGGTATTTACAATGGATGGAGCATATTTATTTTATCCTTCATCCAAGTGGAAAGACTGCTTGAAAAATTCATCCTAAGAAAGACCCATTTATGCATCGGATATGACTTAACCTTATCCTGATCTAAGCTGCTTTGCTACATATTAGGCAGCAGAGTAGAAAACAGTTCATCAACTTACTTCCAACTCATAACCAGAAGCACATTTGTAAAATACTGTCTCTCTGTAACTGTATCCATTGCCAACCACACTTCCATGTTCTGGAGCATCTGGCTTTCCACAGGACACAGGTATGCATATATCACTTGAAAAGAGTGGCATCCAGCTACCATCACTCTAAAGAGAGGACAAAGTGTATTCAGGCCATGGTAAGCAATCGAAAAACAATGAAAATATTCACACATATCCTACAAAATATAACAAGCATTAAGGACCACAGAAGGGACAGAGTGGTGTAGTATAATGTTGGACTAGGGAGAGGGGAACAGGTAAAGCCACTCCTTAAATACCTTGCATACCTTTAAAAACTATTAAGGTTGTCTAAGTTGAATGAAACTTGACAGCACCTAACATCAAGGATCACAGAGCTCTTAAGATATATGTAAGGACCATATTTCAGGATAGGTTTTTATTTCCTTTTTAAAAACAGCACTCATTGAACACTATTTTAAAAATATTGTTCAGTTTCAAAACCAGTTTGCCAGTTTGCAATATGGTGCAATGTAATACACCATAGTTTCAAACAGAAAAGGTGGAGTCAATACAAGGGTTTCTTTGCTATCAATTGCTTCTTTTTTCTTTAAATTGAGGGGATGCCTTTTTGTCTGCAAACATATAATGTGTGCAGAGTTGCACCTTTTATGAAAGCAACAGCTTCACAGTGCACACAAATACCTTCACAGAGTTCAAGAAAGACAGCACCTTCAAGCTCTAAATTTGTGTGAAGCTAAATCTGTGTGAGGCTACATGCCTGCAGTGCTTTGCTGAATCACAGTCTATATTACTGGCATAGGAAAATTACCTATTATAGCAAAATACCTATTTGTGAGCAGAAAGGTGTTAATTCACACAGCTTTATTTGAATGGTATTCTTGCATAAAGAAACATGAGCAGACGTTAGGAGCAAATTTTCTTCTCAAATACTAAATTGCATTTTTATTTAAAATATTTAAAGTTTTGAAAACAAGAGCTGCCTGGGTATTCAATGCCCAATTAATGAATTTCCGTTATCATAGTCATGGATTTCACAAACATTTTGCACAGTCATTACAATTGCTAAAATGCATACATAATGCAACATATATTTCTATCACTATAAGCAGGGTCATGCCACTCTGAAAATGTAATCTCATCACATTCCATAGCAAAAAGAATGAGCATATATTTTGTGGGCAATGTGGTATTTGACAAATTTTCTCCACTGCCCCTATGGATAGATGTGGCTGCAGATATACACATATAAGCACTGAATATTTCCAACAAAATCAATGGCAGTGGTGAAACTCAAGTGTGAAATTGTGTTGTAGTATACAACAGCTAGTCTTTCTGTTAATAAGAGTTAACTGGCTTTAACAGCACTATCCGGCAGTGCAACCCAACTCAAAGATACGCTGGCTGCCTTCAGGTTTGGAATGGGTATCACCCTCTTGAGCTGGCAAAATTCTCTTGTATCAGTTGATCTGAGCTGGGATAACTAGCTCTGCAGGTGCAATTGCTGTGTTGGCAAAGATCAGTCAAGAGTAGAGCCAAAAATTTTGGAGAGAGGGAGGAGGAGGAGAGGAGTTGCACCAGAGCCAGATCTCAGTTAATTCAGACTTCCAGTTGTTGTGCTAGCACCAAGTTAAACCAAGGCCAGGTAGTCCTAACTAATTCCCGACTTCTATGGATTAAGAAAGGATTGGATTGAGTACACTTTGTACTTAACTTTGGCTTACTCTCAAGGCAGCTGGTCCTCCACCATCTTGGCTAGTTAGGATTGTGTCCATAATCCCTATGATTCTGCTATTTAAGATGTTTGGGTGCAATCCTGACTAAATGCTAGGTAAGCTCAGAGCTGAGGGGTTAGGTATGCTGGCACAAGGGCTGCTGGCCCATGAGTCGTGGGTCCACTCCACACCCGCTTCTGCCTGTAGATATTCAAGTTTGGACTGCACTTCCTGACAGGAGGATTGCTTTGAATGCACCTAGGTTTTAATGGGGCAAGAGAAAAGTACTCTGTACAGCCAGAGCAAAATTTGACCTTCCACAATGCATTCAGCCAGCACAAGGATTTTAATATAAGGCCTGGACCTTTCAGGAGAAAGATAAATCATTACCTGGCAAGTGGCACTGCTTTCCCCAGTCAAAAGATATCCTTCTGGGCATGACAGTATAATGCTTTCGTTCACAGTGAAGTCTGTCCCAGAAATAATTACTTTGGTTATGTTTGTTGGCAGGGGGCATTTTTTGGGACAACAGGAAATACTACCAGAAGACCAGTGCCCATCTTCCTGACACGTGCATGTGTCCATTTCTGTCTCCATCACATAACCCTCCAGACATCTGTAACATAAGAGGCACATCTCTATTACCGGTAAAAGGTACATTTTAGAGACAGAAAACCAGAGGCTCCTGTATTCTTTTTAAAAACAAGTTGTTGAATACTGTACACTCCTTACATATGACTTAGTTAAAACAGAAAATCCCTTCAGTGTGATTCAGAAACAGGTTTCCAATTTTTAAGTATGGGGGGAGGACTTCCCAAGAGATCTAAATTATATTCTAACATCATTTGCCAACAGTTATATTGGTTTAAAATTTTATCATATTCTCAATTGTACAAGAATGAATTTCTGCTAAATAAAATGACAGAGCGCATTCCTATTGAAATCACAGGTGGCAATATTATTATGAATCATCTCAAATCTTCTTTATGTCTTCTATCTTCCTGCAGAGAGGCTCTATGGGGGGGGGCACTGAAGAACAAAATTCTGCAGCCTTAACCAGTACACATCACTCTGCCACCACATGCTGATTCTAATACACATGTAGCCAGAGAGGGGCAAAACACAGGTATTTGAGAAGCTCCTATTAAGTATCTGTATATAATGTTAGACAGTCACCCTTTCTATAAATGTTTCTTACCTGTACTGGATTCTACTCCCATAGGCTTGTGAATCTCCAAGGGCAACTGCATGAGGTACAGAAGGTGGTGGCCCACAAGTCAGTATTGCACAATGTGGATACGGCTCACTCCAGATTCCTTTTTCTGTACATGTTAATTCTGGACTTCCTTGCATCACATAGCCCAATTCACAGTTATAGATTATGGTATTCTGATCGACAGAACTGCTCCCATTGATAAAAGCATTGGGGATTGTTGGTGGAGGGCCGCATGAGATCAGTCCACAGTGCGGAAAGCCAGAGCTCCATCTGTTGGCAGCTTCACAGGTGATTTCTGGAGGCCCCAACAGTTTAAAGCCTCCAAGGCATTCAAACGAGACTCTTTGACCACAGCCAAAATTTCTACCTTTAACTACTCCATTCTGAATGGCTGGGACAGGGCATTCACAAAGCAGGCAAGAGGGTGGTTTCCCACTCCATAAAGCGTTAGACATACATTGCCTGACTGGATTTCCTTGTAACTCATAACCAGGAAAGCAAATATATTCTATATATGCCCCATAAGTGAAGATCGAACCATTCAGGAACCCATGAGTAATGTCCTCAGGAGGCCCACAATTGACAGGCTTGCAGGATGGTGTCTCTTTAGCCCAGGTACCATTAGCCTGACAGATATTTGAAGGTGAACCATGCAACACATACCCTTCATCACAGCGATACTCAATTCCTTTCCCAAACGCAAAGTTTGACCCACTAATTTGCCCATGAGAAAGTTTTGGTGGTACAGGACACTGGATGGCTCTACACACTGGAGTGTTCCCGCTCCAGCTTCCATCTGCAAGGCAGACTCTCTTCTGGATCCCTTCCAACAGAAAACCTTCTCTGCAGCTGTACTCAATATATTTTTGAAATGTATATTCCTCTCCAATTACTCTGCCATTCTCTAAACTGGGAACTCGGCCACAGGAGATGGGAATGCATATAGGTTCGTTTCCATCCCATTTTTGATCAGCCTGGCATGTCCTTTTTTCAGGCCCATTTAACTGAAAGCCAGGATCGCAGTCATACTGGATGACACTCCCATATGTGAAAGTCTCTCCTTTTACTGTGCCGTTCATTGGTTTCCTAGGCACTGCACATGATACCCTCTCACAGGTTGGCGCTACATCGCTCCATTCTTTGCTGAATGTGCACAGCCTTGTACTCGAGCCAATCAGCTTATATCCAGGCTTGCAGGTATACATCACTGTGCTACCAAGACCGTTCTCTGTAAAATGTACAAAGCCGTTTTCTGGAGGCAATAGTGATTCACACTGAATGGAAATGCAGATGGGAGCACTATCATTCCACGTTCCATCCTCTTGGCAAGTTAGTGTAGAGTTTCCAAAGAGTTCGTAGCCAGGGTAGCAACTATACAATACTGTAGTCCCATATAAATATACTGACAATTGTAAAGTATTAATAGCCCCTGAAGTACTCTGTGCATCTTTCTGGTTATCTAGCATTAGAGAGAAAAAGGGTGGGCTGGCAGTAGGGAAGCCCTCTGCTAATATTCCTTCTTGGCCATACAGTTTTTCTTCATTGCTAATTGTTACATATCCTCCAAAGTCTATATGGGGAGGGAGGCCACAGTCTGTTGGCAAGCATACTGGACTAACACCAGACCATCCCAGATCCTCGCAGGTCTGCATAGCAAGCCCAGAGAGCTGGTATCCTGGAATGCAGCTGTATATCACCATGGCACCATAGCTGTAATCTGCACCTTCTACAAAGCCATTCTCAATAGGCTGTGGAGGATCACAGCTGATAGCTCTACAAGAGGGAGCCTCTGCATCCCACTCTCTTGTCTCTAGGCAATTCAGGACACTCTGGCCTTCTAGCTGGAATCCTCGGTCACATGAGTAGGTAACTGTCTGCCTGAAATGCAGATCAACATATGAATATCGGCCATTCTGAATCTCCTTGGGCTTGGAGCATTCAATAGGCTTGCAAGTGGGCTTTCCTCCAAGCCAGAGACCATCTTCTCCACAAAGAATGGTCGTGTTTCCCACTAGTTCAAAGCCTGGTTTACAATTATATAGTGCAGTGCTAAGATAAGTAAGGCCTTGCACATCTGCAATTCCATTTTGAATTTCTTCTGGCTGTGGACACTCCACTGGAATGCATTCCGGCATTGGGAAGCTCCATGTACCATCTGCTTGGCAGCTGATGCTTGAAATTCCCTTCAGCAAAAAACCATCCATGCACGTGTAGTTTACTATGCTGCCAAAATGAAGAGAAGTTACTAAAGGATCCCCAAAAGGAATGTAAGGAGGCCTAGGGCATAGCACCATGCGGCACACCGGAAAAGAATCATTCCACTGTCGAGACGGCAAACATTTCAGTACAGATGCACCAAACAAAATGAAGCCTTCTTTACATGAAAACTGCACCACACCAACTTGCTCAGTCATCTCCTTCAGGACAAGCTGATTCTCAATTAGGGGTGGTTCTGGACACTCTGTCTGAACACATTTGGGGTTCTGCTTTTTGTTCCAAGTCCCCGTCTTCTGACAAGTCCACGATGCGTCTCCTATCAGCTCATAGCCTTCATCACATACAAAAAAGACCTTAGCTCCTACTTCAAAACTTTTGCCCTTGGTGTGCCCATGCTGAAAAGGAGGTGGTTCTCTGCAACTGAGGAGCACGCAGGAAGGAGGAGCTTCCGTATGCCATTGACGATTGGCTTGGCAAAATAATGTTGGGCTTCCAATCAACTTGTAACCAACACTGCATTGATACCTCACTTCACTTCCAAAGAAACGTCCTGTTATGTTCTGTAAAATGGATCACAGCAAATGTTATGTTCTTAAGAAAATCAAAATCCTAGCACTTTTGTGATTTTAAAAAAAGTTAAGGATTTGGCTTCAAAAAATTGCTAATATAACAAACACTTCAAACATTTAAAGAACCTACATAATCCAATTTATCTCTATGTAGCTTCTATATGCTGGCTCAGAGGTCAGGCTAGGTGAACAAAAATATAAAATTAAAATATTTAAAAACAACATTACAGAGAACATGCACATTTACAATGTGTGCTCATGTTTAAGAGAGAATGAATGAAAAGAAAAACTATTAGATACTGTACATCTTTTGCTATCCCATCAAATTTGGCCACCATCTGTTAAAAAACAGCATGAGAAAACATAGGCAATAATGTTTTCTGTGTTTGTGGGTGTTCTTCTTAAAAGAGCTGCATTTACTGGATGGACTTATGTATCTAGTTCTGAGGAACCTGATTCTAATACTAAGGCATTTCAATAATGCTATCAAATATTCCACTTTTCATTATTTTTCAGCTTCATTTGGCTAGACTTAAACATGCTGAATCTCCAGAGGCAAAAATATTATCAACATCATGTATGTTCAAGGCCTTGGCAGTACCTCTATTACTCCATTTGCAAGTTTTGGTGGCTCACCACAGGACACTGGATGACAGGTAGGCATAGTACCACTCCAAGTTCCTGTTGCTTCACATGTTCTTTTCTTCTCTCCTTTAATATAGTATCCCCTCGTGCAACTGTAAGCCACAATTGCCCCAAAACTGTAATTTGTGCCAGTTGCATAGCCATTTTTGATGCCTGCTGGCTCTCCACAGCGAACAGGGATGCACTGGATCGTCAATGGAGAAGGGTTCCACTGGCCTCCGCGAACACATTCAATCTTAGCTGAGGTGTTTAACACAAAACCTTCCATGCACTTGAAGCTCACAATGGACCCAGCTGGAAATCTGGCCTTGTTGGAGGATTCCAGAATGCTGTATGATGCAGACAGGGGCCTCTCACAGAAATCAGCTATACACTCTGGAACATCTTTGGCAGCAGGGGGAACCCATTTCCCCTGGGCATTACAAAGTAACTGGGAATTGCCAGCTAAGCTGTACCCGTCAGAGCAGTAATAGATAGCTACATCACCAAATAGCCGGTGGCCACTCTCTGGAGAAGCATGTTCCACAGGAGGTGGTTCATCACAGGAAACAGCCACACACTGCTGGTAACTCATGTTCCATTTTCCATTTGCCAAACATTCCACAGCTTCTGGACCAATTAATGTGTACCTATGGAATGGAAAAGAAAACAGCATCACACACACAAGGGAATGAGCACACAGACTTCTACTGTCTTTATAAAAATGCTGAGCATTTTTACCTCATAAGCTATTTTGGAATTTTTTAATTTTCAAAGGTAGGGTATAAATTAGGGGCGGACAAAATGCAGCCTCCAGACCATATACAACACCCTTCCTCAAGGACTTCAAAAGCTCTCGTGGGGAGCATGCCCCTGAATCCCCCCCTCAATAGAATTTTACTTTCTTCCTAATCAAAAAGCTTCATCACATGTTCTAGAGAGTGCGGCCATTTCCCTTGTTTACCCCCCCCCCAAGCTGTTTTAGATACCTGAAGTAGTTAAAATCAGAAATAACTTCCAGTCAGTTCTAGATTCTAAAAATGCCTCTTGGATATCCTGTTGATCAGAAGGGCCAAAACATTGGGGGGGGGGGGAATCTCCCACCCACTACAGGGCACCATGGAATGTTTGGGGGGGTTCTAAGGCGTTAACAATCAGGCAGTTTTCTGATGGGTATGCATAACCCTCAGACATGCAAAATTTATCTACCTCTAGTATGAGTAGTTAAAATAATTCTGAAAGACACCCTTGATGTAAATTAAGAACTTTATGAGCTACAGATTTCACTAGGGTTGTTTAGTAACTTTAAATAATTTGGATCTAAGAATGTTTAATTTTATTTATTTATTTATATTGTACTGTATTCACAGATCATGCACACCACTGACATGGAATATTTTGGCATGCGTAGAATAATTATTTCCAGATAAAACTCCTTGAATGCAATTCTTAGGGAGCGGAGGAAATCAATGACACATGAATGATATTTCCCCCGATCTATTTAGGATTATTTATCTGCATCACTTGTAATGAACGACCAATGATTTATTTAAAAAAAATAGTAGATCAAGATTTTTCTTTCTATTCATGAATGGAAAGTCTCCTTCCATCTGTGGAACAAATTAAGATCCAATGGAGACTCTCTGCTGGCAATAAAGAATAGAGAAAATATTCACTAATTCCATTTCCTACTACTGCTTCCGGTGACATTACCCCCAAACCTATGGAACAGGTTTTTAGAGGATTGCTTGGGAAAGAAGTTGGCAAAAATTGCCTCCCTTTTTTCTTCCAGTGGAAGGATCTTGTAAATTCTGCTTATGGCAAACCTAACTTAATGTTGCTAGTTTTGGGTTTACTGTGAGTTTACAAAACGTTTTGGAATTATCATTCGTAGAATGCAACAACATGTACTATTTATTCCAATCTAGTAGAGCTCATTTACATACCCTTCCTTACACGTATAAGTGACGATGTTTCCAAAAGTAAAGTTGTTCCCACTAACAGTGGCATCTTTAATGACAGGAGGAAGCTCACAAGAAACAATTTCACAGTGTGGTGATAAGCTGCTCCAGCTAGCTGTTTCTTCACACACAAGTACTGAGGATCCTTGCAGACTAAAGAGCAAGCATACATATAGTGATGTGAGACAATGATAAGGGAAGCAGGCAGAAAATACTCTTCTTCCCAATGAGAATGATTAACTTTTACTGGAAAAAAAGATTAAAAGTGCATGTCTAAAGTGGGAGATGTACTGTATAGGTTTTGAAGGATTATAGCTTGTCACATACAAAGTCTTCAAATATGGGGCACTTGGTTTTTATATTATTCAACACACACACACATCACAAAAAAGATCAGACACATAGAAACATTTTCTTCATTTAGTAGGGAACTCTTGCAAGTCTTGTGTCATGGTTATAAAAGTGGGTAAAACTCTTGCAAGAAGATACTGGCCAGATGACATGGCAAGCTTCCTATAAAAATGCCAGTGTGCTGATATATGCTGGCTGATCACCTCTACCTGCAGATGAAATGGTTAAACACAGCACAGACCTTACACTGATGAGTTGTGTATTGTGACATTTGAACTAAGCAAGGAATGGCAATCTGGCTGGCATTTCCCATGGCAGGCCCCACTCCCACAAAACATGCAACATGGGTTGTTTCTTTCACTTGTCAAGCAAGAAAGCAGAGCTTCCAAATAGCGCATGACAAGAAATGATATTACCTTTAATTAGTTATTTTGACAGATAACAGCATAACTAATAAAGTTGTTGCTCTTCTTTATAACACAACAAACAGTTACTTGTTACTTTTAGGGACTCAACATATTCTGAGTGACATTTTGAGCCCCCTCCTTAAATTCTAAGCCATTTCCTCCTGTTTTAGGTACCCGCCCCCAAATACCAGAAAATTAATGTATTGCATGATGCAACAAGCAACTAACAATTCCACAGTGTTCATAGAAACTATATTGCTAGGTGAGAAAGATTTTGGAACTAGTTCCATACCAAGTTCCTTTGAAGAAATAACTTCCCAAACCCTGGGGAAGACAATTAAACTACAAATGAAACTGAGCCTCGGGCGGGAGTATGTTCTGTCCCACCAGCTGCAGAAGTAGTCATCCAGCACACACTAATATACTGTTTGCTCTTGATAAAACTAGGTTACCATGAAATCCTGGGTTATCTTGATATGTGAACTCTACTATAATCTTGCTGTGTGCTGGTTTTTCAGTGTTTAACAAGCCCAAATGTATTTCCTCCAGGACTGAAGCCCTGGGAGAGGGACTGCATATTTTAACATATTTAAAAGCAAAATGAACTTTACAACACCAGATGTTTGTTGCAGTAGAGGGCACACACATCTTTCATACTTTGTAACACTGGGCACTCTGAATTGGGACGATTCAGGAGAAAGTGCTCAGCCTCAAAAATGTGGGAAAATAACACATATGGAATACGTCATACTGCAAGTGGTTTCATAAGCCCTTGATTCTGCTACCACACTTAAAATGTGCATTCTATTCCCCTCACATTGCTGTAATATAGAAAGCTGCTTTCAATTATTACATGTGATTAAAAAAAATCTTCATTCTAATGTTACAGAACTCTTTGGAGTAAGAAAAGTAAGATTAATTAAGAGGCAATTAAGACTTTGTTGAGCTTCTAGATATAAATAGAAATCTTTGATCTGAAGTCAGTTTGAAGAATTGCCTAGCAAAGCTTTTAAAACTTAATACTTAAAAATTATGAATTAAATGTTAGTAAAATGACTAATTCTGTCATCACCTTCCCACCAGCATTAACATTTTACATGAACTACAGAAAACATCTTAACATTTTCTTTGAATAGATTAATCCACACATATTTCATTTTGCTAAACTGTATCTCTCAGTTAACAGAAACAAGAATGAGTCTCTCCCCTGCATTTGCAACTTTAACAGGAATGCACTGTGCACAAATACATCTTGCTTTCTTGTTTACCTGTAACCTGTGTCACAGATGTATGATACATTAGAGAGGTATGTAACACCACTTATTATATATTTTCCATTGCTTATTTCCTTTGGAAGTGGGCATTTTACTAATTCACATACTGGAGAAGAGTAATTCCATTTGCCATTTGAAAGACACACTGCTGCTTCTTCGCCCTTCAGAACGTATCCTTTATCACACCTGTGTTTTGAGAGAAAGATAAATCTGCATATATACATTTATTTATTTATTTGAAATATTTTACCACATTTTTCTCCTAAAAAAGGACCCAAGGTGACTTATATAATTAAAAACGCAGTATTAAAAACTAAAACCAGTAAATTATTCAATTATTTTTAAATAACTCAATAAACATTATATTTAAAATGTTTTGGTAAAAACATTACCAAAACAAATTTAAAAGCATTAAAAATACAAGCCATCTCTTTTTTAAACCTCTCCTAGACAACCAATCACTAAGGAAAAGCCTGCCTGAAGAGATAGGTCTTCACCTGCTTACAGAAGGACAGCAAAGACGGTGCTGAGATAGGTCTTCACCTGCTTACAGAAGGACAGCAAAGATGGTGCTAGCCTTGTTTCCAGTGGGAGGGAGTTCCAGAGTCTGGGAGCAGCGATGGAGAAGGCCCTTTTCTGTGTCCCCAAGAAGTGCACCTGTGAAGGTGGGGAGTCCAAGAGAAAAGCCTCCTCTGATGATCTGAACACCCAGGCAAGCTCATAAAGGGAGATAAGGTCTTTGAGATAGCTTAGGCCCAAGCTGTTTAGGGACCTATAGGTCACAATCAGCACTTTGAATTGTGCCTGGAAGTGAATTGGCAGCCTGTGGAATTGCTGTAACAGGAGGTTATGTGACCCTTGTAACCATGCACGTGGGTCTTTCCTAGCACCTGTGTTAATTAAATCTAAGAATGGAATGAGGGGACCACTATTTACATTGTAGATATTTAAAACTTCCTGCACTGTAGTTCTGACTATGTCAGGTTACCCTTGACAATTTTGTCTGATTGTGTCCGACTCTAGGGGGCAGTGTTCATCCCCATCCACTATTTACATTGTAGATATTTAAAACTCCCTGCACTGTAGTTCTGACTAGACAAGGAACACCGTTACCTTCCCACCGTGGTGGTACCTATTTATCTACTTGCATTTTTACATGCTTTCGAACTACTACTGTAGGTTGGCAGGAGCTGGGACTATGTAAGACACAATAGCTAATCGCTTGTTGCTGAAGAATGGTGGCTGGAACACTTGGTTCTGTGTGTGATTTCTTCCCATTCACTTGGCCAAGAGAAGCCAGTAAATTCTTAGACAAGAGGAAACCCCCTGTTGTCATCAACAGGGCAATCTCAAACTTGCGCAACTGCAACCTAGAGATTGCCAGAACAAATGCAGAAGGCTCTGGTGGCAAAGCACTTAAGCTCTACATTTGCCAACATGACCCACAGGCACCAGCCATGTGCTAAAGTGAAGATTACCATGCACTTGCACTTCCTCAGATTTCTGAGCAATTGCAAAGTAATTCATGGCTCACCATGTGGTTAAGGATACAGTCTACAATATACCTCTCCACAAGCAAAGTAATACTAGTTACTATTAGTTGTCTGATTGCAAATCCAGTAAGAAATCTAGACTGTGTAGCTGTTACAGTTTGAAATTGGTACAGAAAACAAAACAAGATCCGAAGACAGGCTTTTTAACCAAAATCATAACTGTGTAATTGGCATTATACTATTAACTGCATGTAGTGTACAGCAGCGGTCCCCAACCTTTTTGGGACCGCGGACCAGCTGAGCCTCCGAGGAAGCTGAGGCACCCCATTCGCGCTTGCACAGGTGTGAGCGCATTCAGGTGCATGCATGTACTCTCTCGGGCGCATGTATGAAGTGGTGGGGGAGTGCGCTCCCACCAGTGCCAGCATGGGTGCTCCCCCACCCCTTTGCACATGCACAGGAACGACTGGCTGCCCGCGCACCCATCCACCCCTTTGCACGGGTGCTCGGGCGCATGCGTGAAGGGGTGAGGGAGCGCTCATGCTGGCGCTGGCATGTGTGCGTGTGCACAAAGCAGCTGTGGGGAGTGGAGTGTGTGCGGCGCGGGGGGCGGGAGCTCTGTCTCCATGGCCTGGTCCAGCTTAGGCCACAGACCGGCACTGGGCTGTAGACCAGGGGTACAGGATGAAAACTATGTTTGCCATTCTATCCGTTGCAATATTTTGTGAATATTGTGAATATTTTTGTATTGATAGATATTTATAAGAACACAGGAAAAATTAAATATTGATATTTCAGTGGTGCAAAAAGCTTTCAAAGTAATTAGTATGGAAAAACTAAAATATCTGATTCTGATCCATAGTTACTTTTTTTCATGTATATGATACATTTATTACACAGTAGTTATTGTCTAGCTTGTGCAAATCCCCAGTTATTGTTGTTGTTATTTTTATCATCCCACCTCCCACTACAAATCTTCTCAAATCCTACTTCTTCCCAGGTCCCAAACTGCAGGACTCATGAAATGGACAACTATCTGCATAAAACCATATTTCTTCCACAAATTTCTATACCACACAGTTTCATTCATTTCTCCTACTTATACTAGATTATTTTTCATAATTCTCTACTGAAATAAAAAGTTCCAAGGGCACAGCAATCTTCCTACCTATAGATCACTTTGCTACCATATGTGAAATTGGATCCATCAATTGAACCATTTTCAGGAATAGGTGGATTACCGCAGGAAATAGCTTGAAAGAAAACATAAAATAAAATCACTAGAAAAATCAGAGAAATCTTAGTGCTTCATGGCAACAAAGACATAGGGATAGAATGAAAAGCCATGGATGATGGACAGGAATGCAAGAAATAAATCCACTCTCAGACCACTTCTCATCCACACAGGTGTTACATTATCTACAACTATATACAGTGGTGCCTTGACTTACGAACTTAACCTATTCCGGAATTATCGTCATACCTCGAAATGGTCGTAAATCAAAGCACAATTTCCCATAGGAATGCACTGAAACTACATTAATCTGTTCCGGCCAGAAAAAAAAGTCACCAGAAACCTCCCCAAAACAACAACAATGCAAACCCTATTGGAATGCATCGGGGTCAGAAAAAAAAAATCACACATACACACAAAAAACACAACACTGCAAGCCTGGTTGTAACATGCTGGGGCCAAAAAAAAAAATCACCAAACAACAAAAAAAACAATACAAGCCTCATCGGCACTCACGGGAGCTGAAGAAAAAATCACCAAAAAAGAGAAAAGAAAAGAAACAAAACAAAACAAAACAAAAAGCAACCCCCATCGGAACACGCTGGGGCTGAAAAAAAATTAAATAAAACAACAACAACAACAAACCCACACCAAACAGAGCTAGCCCCATCAGAATGTGCTGGGGCCAGAAAAAAAACACCAAAAACAAACAAACAAACAATGGAAGCCCCATCAGAACACTGGGGCTGGGAAAAAAATAACCAAAAAACACAAACAAATAAAAACAAAACAAAACAAAAAATCTCCCCCCCCCCAAAAAACTGAAAACCCCATCAGAACATGCTGGGGCCAAAAAAGAAACGAACCCAAAAACCAAAAAACAAAACAACAACAGCAACAACAACAAAAAAAACAAAAAACCCATCCACAATGCAAGCCCCATTGGAATGCATTGGGGCTGAAAAAACAAACGCACTGAAACACACACACAAAATCACAGCACAGAAACATAACCCCCTCCAGCCCAAACCCACCTTGCAAAACCCTGTATGTACTCACTCAGAAGCTGAAAGCAGCACCAGGCAGTCCCAAGCCTCCTCTGACGCACACACACTAACCGTTGGGATGAAAGAGCTACAAAGAAGCAGCCTCTTTGCCAACCAAAAGTTAGTACATTTGAACTCCCTGCCTTTTTTCCAGTTGTAACTCGAAGCTCTGGTCTCAAGTCGAAGCAAAATTTTGCGGCCAGAGCTGGTTGTAACTCAAAGTGGTCGTAAGTCGAGGCACCACTGTACCTTTTGTTTTCCCACTGTCTGATTGTACCATGAGTTCGAAAGGTGCCTTTGTTAGAGGGGATCAATGTGCAATCAGCTTACAGGTGAAGTGTAGATGTGCCCTTAAATGAACAGTCCCCGTTGCAGAGGGAATAAGAACATTAGTGGATGTCAGTTATATCATTAAAATATCAACCCAGCTTTGGCATCTATGGAAGAAGACTTACAAACTAGAACATCTGCAGACTAATTGCTTTCAGCCAACTAGACATTCCATTGCCATCATGTCTGTTGAAGCTGCTATGTGTCTATTGTATCACAGTGAGTAGGTAAAAAACAATACCTTCACAGTATGGTGTTAGGTGGCTCCATTCCCCAGATTCCAAGCAGACTAATTGAGTCACTCCTTTCAGTTGGTAGCCCTTGTCACATAAGAAGCTGATCTCACTACCAACACTGAAGCTGTCACCATGTGAATGGCCGTGTTCAGGAACACCTGGATGTTTGCATTTTACTGGTTCTTTGGAATCAGATACAAGGTAAAACAGAGCTTACTGACATCACGTGTGGGTCATGTGCTTAAAAATGAAAACAAATCATGCAACCTTTAAGCAGACAACTGAGGAAGAAATAAAGCCCAATCACAAGAGCATGGAAATGTATATATGAAGCACATTAAATAACATTTCCATCGACATTTTTCTTCACAGAGACTTAAGTTGGGGGCACCTTACATTCAGGTTTAAATAATTATTACCTTAAATAGGCAAATAAAAAATTATTGGTAAGTGGCATCATGTCAAATTGTTGGCGGGGAGGGGGAACACTCACTGGTGTCAATTTGGTTTCATACCAGTGGTCACACATGCAGGAAACCAAACTAAAATACAGTAATCTTTCTCACACTAAAACAAATAATAATCACTGCCAATGATCCAAGAAGGCACAGCCAGCCATGGGAAAGGGTTGGGCTGGTCTGTGATTACCTATATGTCATGTAAGGTAAAGGTAAAGTTTCCCCTTGACATTTAGTCCAGTCGTGTCCAACTCTAGGGGGCGGTGCTCATCCCCATTTCCTAGCCGTAGAGCCAGCGTTTGTCCAAAGACAGTTTCCGTTGCCACATGGCCAGTGCGACTAATGTCATGTAGTCATCAGCAATTAGGTCAAACCAGACCATCCCAAGAGGGGGACAAAATGTATAACAAATTTTAATGAAGTGGTCCCCTTTGTTACTGCCACCAATAATAACAGCACTCCGTCAAATTCTTCCTTGTTCTAACATACAGTAATAAAACAAAACAGTTTCCTATAATCCCTCAAAGTAACATATGGTGCTCTCTCTCTCATCTCCCCAGCAACAATTCAACAGTATGCTATGGTAGAGGGAAAACACACAGAGCAATGATCAAGGTAGCTTTGTCTATTTTCTGTAAAAGTGAGATGTCAGCCTGATTTTCTAGCCAACAACATTTATGTAACACCAGCTGGGCAAGATGCTTTTACTACCCAGCCGTGGTGTCCTGTTTCCTGCCCCTTTACCTGTACATTTTTTCCCATCTCCTTTGTATGGGTAAATGCAGGTGCATACGTAGGATCCGTCCGTGTTAAGGCAAGAGGCATGGGGATCACAATCTGAGCCAACGGCACATTCATCAACATCTGAAAAGAAAGAGAGCAGTACTTGTTATTAATGGATTTTTGCACCAGAAAAAAAGAAACTGTATTATAAAATGTTGACATTATGTATGAACAATATGTTTCATGATTGCTTATTAAGACTCCAATACATTTCAGACAAAAAGGATACAACGTATTATGTGTTGTTATCTGTTTGCCGGAAATAGCCCCTGAGGAAGCTACAGTATTCCTAAGCAAATAACACCAATAAACTATCATCAGTATTTTGGATTATAAACTGTTTTTTTTTTATGTGTTTTGTGTTTGATTTCTGGGCATTTTTACTTGTTACCACTTTACTGCTGCTGTTTTAATTTGTATATGTGTGTGGTTTGGATATCCTGTGGTCTTTACTTCTCCCACCAACATACTTCTGAGTGATCTCCTCTAGGTGAAATGAAGCTGAAGTATAAGTTCAACTACATTTGCTCCTATATGCACATCATATGCTTTCTTGTTCTCAGCTTCCCCCCCCCCCGTTTCTGCTGCTTTCCTCTTCTACTTCTACCCTGTTTTAATGTTGATTGGTATTGCATGTCTATTATTTTCTGAAGTTGCATATACAATCATGGCACTAGATTAACAACAAGCATGGTGGTCCAATAATTATTACTGTATCTGGGAATCAATCTAATTCTGTTGCTTCATGTAACTGCAGTGGCTTTCATCCCACTTACATCTGTTAAAATATTGTATTAAAATGCACAAGGCATACCTTTCCCTTCTTCCTTTGCCTTTTCTGTTGCTTTATAAGGACAGAACGCAAACTTATCAGAAACTACCAAATCAGACAGATACTGAGGTATGACAGAAATGCAAACATATATTCTTGTTACCATAAGCAAGAAAAGTTATTTTACTGTTTCAGTCCAAGATGTAAGCTGAATCACATTCGGACTATAATCAAAATTCTCAGAGAGCCCCTGTGATTTGTACATTTTCTAAAGCAGCTCTCCATGTGAGTGTGTACAAAAAATTGATTTGGGGATAAAACCAAAGTTAGGCCAAACTAGAGTGGACTCACTGAAATCAATTGGATGTATATTATTCATTATTAGCGTCTCATTCATTTCAGTGGTTCTCATTTAGTTGGAACTGACCTTGGATTTAGTAGTTTCAGAGTCTGAGGACTTTGAAAAACAGTTTGTAGTATAGCCTAAAAAGATTCACTCTTTGAAGAAAAACAGCTTTTAAAATCCTACTGGCAAGTGCAAGTCTTCAGAGCCAAAATATCTCATACCAAGATTAGTCAGGCTTAATTCACTTATAGGTACTCAAGACAGATAGATGACCATCACACTATGACCATCATAAACTCACCAAGGCAAGATGGTGAAATAACATTCCAGCTTCCATTGTCCATACAAACCATCCTTGAGTCTCCCAACAAATAATAGCCACTGTTGCACTGATATGTAAGGGTGCTTCCAGCAAAGTAGTCTTCGGCTGAATGAAAGCCATTTTCTAAAGGTGGAGGCACTCCACAGCTAATCCCTATACTCAGACAATATAAGAAAAAGAGGTTTCAGGTGACTTAAAGCACTTGTTTAGTTCCTTCTTGATAAAGAGGCACTCCACAGCTAATCCCTATACTCATAAGAAAAAGAAGTTTCAGGTGACTTAAAGCATTTGTTTAGTTCCTTCTTGATAATGAGGCCATGAGCCCACATCCTAATCTCGTGAAGACTACTTCCACCTATTTTCATTTGTTGTATCAAGTGTTCAGAAGCCAAAAATGTTGATCTGAAGGCTGCAGTCTAGGGAAGTAAGTGTAATAAGTCTTAACTGCTGTGGTACTCTCTCTCTCTTCATCCAAAGGCATTTTGCACAAGAACTCATTCTCAGAACGTGTACACATCATGACTGTAACCCACCTAACACCATTTAAAGTATATGATAGTCTACAAAGTACTGTACACAGTACAAATAAACAACATACAGCTCATGGACAACATAAGACCTCCCCAGGCCAAATTTGTAACATAAAAATTTGAGACTTGTGTTCCTGAAAAGATCAAGGAAGCACCATTTGCTTTTGAGTCATAATGTGTGGACCCTGTATACTTTTTTAGGAGGAAGAAAGAGGTTCTGAAAGTGAAAATGGACTTCTGGTCAGTTCTCAAACAGATGGCATGGCCCATAGTCAGGTCTTTATGCGTTGAAATTGGATACAACATCCTTTGAAGTTGCCGACCTCTAATGTACAGTGATATTGACATATTAGATGCAGCAAGCAAGCAAGCAAGCTGAGGTAATCTGTACTAGTACAAAGGTGGAACCAACTGCAGGTTCTACCGGCAAAGGTGGGGAGCGCTCTCCATACACATAATTTCTCAGACTTGCTCTGGCATAAACAGACACAGTCCAACCTCCACAGTTAAACCAAGAAATGCTGTTAATTACAAATAAAATGAGTATAGTACTATGCAGAGTGTGGGAAGGAAGTCAGTGGGGAAGAAAATATAAAACATAGTCTTTATCTACGAATGTGTCATTGAAAAGGATTTTTTTTAAAAAAAATCAGGGTATGTAGAGACGCTGTGGAGAATGTGAAACCATCCAGATGTTGGACAATAATTCTAATCAGACACAGCCAGCACAACTAATAGCCAAAGTTAATTATATTTACATATCTGTTTGGTCATAAAATCCTTACTACTGACACAGAGTAAAAAGAAAAAGAATATAATAAAATGGGAATTCTAACAAATGCAAATTTTGGCTCATTAGATAGGACTACTAAGGAAGTCTTTCCTACTGGTAGACTCAGATGTTGGGCTTTGTCTTCCAAAAGCGGTGAGGTACTGTGTCATTTGAGCCTTACAGACACATGAAAAGACAGCCTTTGTGGGTCAGGAACTAATGCTTTCTTTTAGCTGGCATGTGACTCAACTAAATAATGCAGTGTAGTGTGGGTTTGTGGACTTGTGCTTTTTATGGAGTTGTTTCTGAAACAAATGCATACATTTCCATATTTTCTATTATAATATCCTCAATATCTTATTTAGATCTCTTTACCTCAATATGGGAATTTACATTCTAGAAGGCCTTTATCAAATGCTAAAGTAAGTTGCAGTTAGAGTAGAGCCATTTGAATCAATGGAACCTATGGATGAGTTGACTCACCAAATCCCCATTGATTCACGGGCCTACTATAGTGCAATTTACTACATTAAGCCATAGGATTTTGGCCAATTAATAATAAGTGTCCTACTTATTATTAATTGGCCAAACTCCTATGGCTTAATGTAGTAAATTGCACTATAGTAGGCCCGTGAATCAATGGGGATTTGGTGAGTCAACTCATCCATAGGTTCCATTGATTCAAATGGCTCTACTCTAACTGCAACTTACTTTAGCATTTGATAAAGGCCCATTTGAATCAATGGAACTTACGAAGTCATTAACTCAAATCTTCATTGATTCAATGGGCTGATTCTAGTGCAATATACTACACTAAGCAACAGGCAGCATATGCTAAAGTCAATATTTTTAAGGGTTCCTACTCACTTACTTTCACAGTGTGGAAGAGGTTGTGTCCATTTCCCTAAATTTAGACACTGCAGAACAGAATTTCCCACTATGTGATAACCTGGATCACAGGAGAGAGACACTTTTGATCCTGCCTTTAAATCAGCTGATGAAGTTCTCAGGTGAGGTATGGAGCTTTGTAAGGGCTGGCAATCTGGGAAGAAAGAAAGAAGTAATTACAAAACAGTTTAGAAGAGTATATATTCGCGAAGGCTTTCACGGCCGGGATCTAATGGTTGTTCTGGGTTTTTCAGGCTCTTTGGCCGTGTTCTGAAGGTTGTTCTTCCTGACCTTTTTCCAGTCTCTATGGCCAAGATCTTCACACGAGAACACAAGAGAAGACTGTCCTCTGAAGATGCCAGCCACAGAGACTGGCGAAACGTCAGGAACAACAACCTTCAGAACATGGCCAAAGAGCCCGAAAAACCCAGAACAACCATTAGAAGAGTTAAAGAAGATAAAAATAAATGACTTGGGCTTTCCAGATGATTTTCACATCGCCCCTATCTAGCTGTTGAAGTTGATAACATTAATACCAAATCAGCATTTCTTTGTTCAGTTTCTGAGTGGTATATCTGTCATCCATGCACAGGAGTAGAAGGATACAGTTTACGAACAGAGAGCATGATAGTTTCCAGACAAGCAACTTTAAAGTCTGAGGCTTGCTCTATTCATGTTTTTTTAATATTGTGCAAGGTAATCTGAGAAAGAGTGATAAATAAACACTTCTGTAGCTCTTTTAAAGAAAAGCATAAAACATTCTTAACATATAAGCTAAAAATAATTGTTACAAGCAAAAAGCAAAATAAAGAAACAGAACGAGGAGCCAAGAGCAGGAGCATTCCAATAAATGAATGGAACTCTTTCCCATTTGACCCAATCTTAAACATCATTCTTTCAACATCTGAATCCAGGAAACTATAAATATTTTGTCTGGGGTTCCAAAGAACATTTATTGCATAATTCTGGAATCTGAAGAATGAAGACTAAATGTTCCAGTCACTAAATGATCAAATGTATCTATGCTAGTGGCGATGACCATATTGTAATTTTAATACTACATAGGAAGTTCCAATAAACACAGTATATCAGTTATTTTCAAGTGGTCTAGGCCAGGGAACTCTTTCCATTCTCTTATCTGTAACAGAACCTCTGCCGCTCTAGCATGTTGTCTGTAGTTCACAGCCAGTTTAAGTAGGGTGTCCAAAATGAAGAAAAGGCAAATCCAAAAGGTATAAGATGATTTATTAATAAATTGACTAAACACCTGACTTTTTTTTTAACTGGGGAAATCAGACAGAAGTAGAACTATGGAAAGTAAATTCATCCCGTTCTTCAATACTTTATGCAGTTAACCCTTCATAAATAAGCTGCTGGCTTACTGCTGAAATAGTTAAGTATATGAATACGAAACAAAATGATCAATTTGGAATATTTTTTTTCTAGAGAATGAAGTATATTAGAGCCAAATATACTTCATTCTCTAGGGAAAAAAATATTCCAAACTGATCATTTTGTTTAGTATTCATATACTTATTTTAGCAGTAAGCTAGCAGCTTATTTATGAAGGGTTAACTGCATAAAGTATTGAAGAGAAGGATGAATTTACTACAATTTGATAACAATTGAATTATGATAAAATATTTCCCACTATTATGCTAAGCAGTTTATAAGAAGAGCATGGATGCTTGCATGCCAGGTATCTGATAATCATTTGTTAATAAGTCTTTTTCTCATTGTCCCCTCTGTGTGGGACAATACTTCTACTTTCATGTGGAATGCTGTCCCCCACCAATTGGGGAAGCACTCAAGATACACTTTTGTTGCAGAGGAAAGCCAGCAGTGCACTAGTATATCAGACGGTGAACGTGTAAATGTGTGTTCTTTCAGAGAGGTCTGTCAGCTGTTACTGATTTTTCTCAGTAAAGTTTGCATTGTACGCCAGTGTTTTTCTGAACACAGCCTGAAAATCACTACATTTGCTATACTGCTATGACACTTTCAGGAGGTAAAGTACTAACCAGAGCAAAACATGCTGTTGGAATCTATCTTCACTCTTCCAACAATCCCAGAAAGAAAATCTGGCCAAGCCAATATGTTGCCTCTTTGGAGTTCTTCTGGACATGAAGTAGCCAAGGACTTCACCTTATCGTTCAAAAGAGGGGGTTAGATACTGGTTTGCAAATAGTATAAAAAGAAGTTGGAAACCAAGGCAGCAACAACAAAACCCACAACAGAGTATAACATTGTTTCTTTTCCATGTCAGACTTCTCAGTAGCAGCTTCAAATCTGAAAAACAATTTGGATTCTTTCACGGCTCAGCAAAGCCACTCTTGCTTTGGTCAAAACAAGGAACAGTAAGAGAGCCATGCCTTCTACTATTAGTTGCAACAGCTAGAAAAGAAATATCAGCTATGATGTAATAAAATATCATTTCTTTGCTATTTTGTAAAACGGAAAACCAGATTTGAAAATATTGTTTGACAGCCTGAAAACATATGAACCATGTTATATTTTAAGTTACGTATTCAGAATGCTCATCACATTTTAATAATTCAAGTATCTTTTTAAAAGGAACAATACAAGCAATAATACATAGCCTTTCTTTACATGCCATGCTTCTTTTAGGAATCGCTGCCTGCAACCAGGACCACATGATTTATGACTTTTTCACCTCCTGCCCCGCGGTAACCACCAAGAAATTATGGAAGGAATTGTACCTAATTGAAGACACAGTTCGTCAAGATGGAAACTCAAGAAAATTCTGGAAGGAGACTACTGGGAACATAACAAATATTCATTCAGAAGAAAGTAAGTCAACTAATATGTTTTTAAAAGGTGAAGCTTTCCTATTGCCCAATCTCTCATTATATCAGAGGGGCCATAGCTCATTCAGATAGTTCAAAGATTATTCTGCCAGAAAAGGGAACACCATACTGTCAAACCATATGCCTGAACAGAGTGGTCAAGGGCTCCAGAAATGGAACAACTGAAAGATCCTATCACTGTCTCTTTTCAGTTGAAAATTGAAGTGTACCCTTGCATATCATGCCCTTGAAGTGTCTTCATGAATGTCCATCTCCTAATTTATATGTAAGCAGCTACTCATAAGGCTCAAAGAACAAAAAAGCTTACTGGTACATGTGATCAATTAAACTACCATGGTCAACTGATGGAATGGAAGATAACACTTCTTTAAGAGAACCATATTAGATGTTAAATATTCACCTGCTCAGGGGACAAAACATAACCCCAAATGTTGAGCTGGCTAACTGAACCAACAAAAGACTCTGCTGGATTAAATCCCTCTCCTCTTCGGTCTTGCTCCTGTCCAAGCACTAAGGCACCTCCACCTATTGATAAAAGATCCAATATAAGAAGACCAGTAGAAGAAGAGACTACTGCATCTGACTAAAAAAGTAGGTTTTGCTCATTGCCTCACAGTTCACCATTATTCTGTTAGCACATGCAGCCAACTGGGTAGAGTTGCAAAGGAAATCGGGCAGGGATATCCAACTAAAGAGCTCTAGCACAAATAGACGAGTATGGGTTTCAAATATCAGCCAGTGAATTACACAAGAGAAATTAAAAGGCTTGCACTCTGAAAAGGTGTTGATGAGATATTGACCATCAGGAAAAGTTTGTGCAACCTGATTTACTTTGCAGTATAAATGTCAGCCTTTGTACAACTACAGAGTAGAAAATACTAGTATGAGGCCATCCTATAATCCCAATCCCATGTGGTTCCTTTTCTTATACATCATTGGAGTGGCCTGGAACTGGGACATATGGAAGCAATTCTCATGATGCAAAGGTAAGTTATGACTCAAACGAGAATGTGCTGATTGGTAATATTTAAAAATATGGCAACAATTCTGTGCATAGATATTGTAACTTCTGTCCCTTGTAGTGATTGGTTTTTCTCTTTAAAACAACTAAACATGTTCAAAGCCAGGATACTTATTGCTATTTGGAACAGACAAATTTGACTACCTTGTAGTGATTGGTTTTTCTCTTTAAAAGCACTAAACATGTTCAAAGCCATAAATGTTGGACTTTTTTTTACAGGATGCTTACTTATTGCTATTCGGAACAGATAAATTTGACTATACAGTGGTGCCTCGCAAGACAATGTTAATTTGTTCCACAAAAAACGTCATCTTGTGAAAACATTGTCTTGCGAAATGCGGTTCCCCATTGGAATGCATTGAAATCTATTTCATGCATTCCAATGGGGAAAAAATCATCGTCTTGTGAAAATTGTCCATAGAAAACATCATTTTGCGAAGCGCCGCAGCGATTGCAAAACCCAATTATCTTGCGGATTAATTGTCCTGCGAGGCAATCGTCTTGCGAGGCACCACGGTACTTAATATCTGTTTTTATACAGAGCATTAAGTTTTTGTTTTTTAATTTATTGTAGGTACGTTATTGCAGGAGTTCTAGAAAACAAAGAACTGCGAGGCAATCGTCTTGCGAGGCACCAACAGTACTTAATATCTGTTTTTATGCAGAGCATTAAGTTTTTGTTTTTAAATTTATTGTAGGTACGCTATTGCAGGAGTTCTAGAAAACAAAGATATTAAAAAGATAATTGAATTTGGTTCTATGAACCTGGTCTCTGTCAAAATGCCTTCTCCCTAATAAGAACAACAGGAAGGATAACTGAACAGATGTGAAACAAGCCATACCAGGGATTACTGATCCTACAGACAAGCCACTTCCTCCATCAGATAACCTGCCATCAATGTACACTCTCCAGGCTCCATTGGTGTTTGTCCAAGTGACAGCAATATGATGCCAATTGCCATCATTCACGGAAGGGCAATCTGTAATACTCTCCTTCCCATTCACATAAAGAACCCAACTACATTAATTAGAAGAGAGAGGAAGAGTAAGAGAGGAGGAGGGGAAAGAGGAAGATTGAGTTACACGCTACATTTGTAATGGTTTAAACAAACCACTTAAAAGAACGTGTTTATTTTCTACACAAATACAAGACTAGTTTAAATTGCCTCATATGAAATAACCCAGCTGTGCTTGACAGAAAAAAAACCTTCTGAATCAGCACAACACTAATGGGATCTTAAGGATCTCATTGAAAACTAAGAATCAGTGGAATGAACCAAGCATTGATTTGAGTTTAGATGAGAAAGATAACAAAGCTAATCAGATATTTCTAGACTCTACTGCCTTTTTAAAAAAATTACAGGACCACATCTGTTCAAAAGTAGGTTTAATTGTATGCAGTTATAGTATATGAGATTATACTATAACATTAACTGCATAACACTATACTTATTTCCAAACCATGTCTGTATAACACTTAGATTTGTGTCACAAAGCCCACTGTAATTTCAAAGGCCTTGCCAGCATCTTCACTCAAAAGGCCTTCATTTAAGAAAGTGGGCCAGCACCATACTTTTCTCCATGAGTACAGATGAGAAAAATGGTTGCCTTCCTTTGTTCAGCAGCAGCCAATGGCCTGTTCTAGATCCAGATCCTACACTAAAATGCACTCCATTTTTGTACTGGCTTGGAGTTTTTGTATGGTTTTGAAAGGTTCAAATCAAGATAAGTATAAGAGTATGAGTACTGGAACAGTTTTGTGCCATGCATGAACCAAGCATTGATTTGAGTTTAGATGGCTTGGAGTTTTTGTATGTTTTGAAAGGTTCAAACCAAGATAAGTATGAGTAAAAGAGTATCAGTTTTGTGCCATGTATGATTTGTCATTGCTTGTGTTACCCGCACAATATTTTTCCCCAGAAGTTTTTAATAAGAAAGTGCAACCAGAATGTCTAAACTGTCAGTAATGCAATGCATTTATATATATGATGCAAGCCATGTCCAAAGGACCCAGTATCCTCCAACGATTGTAGTCTGCAACTTCTAGGATCAACGATTAATGAACATACTGTTTGGGTTATAGAACTGTACTCTGAAATATCTGGGGAGCACCAAATTGCATACCTCTGATGTATACATAGTAATACATAAATAGGTAGGAACACGTGGTGATACACTTTATAATATTCTATTTCTGATCTTCAGAGGCAGAAGCTATTGCTTATGGAGCAAAAATAGTATGGTCTCACAAACACAGAGGTTGCTGAAAAAAACTGAAAAAAAATCTTAACAGAAGAACCTCAAAATGAGGACACTGGCAAATTGGTAGAAGAGACAATGGAGTGAAGTATTCATTATTGGATAACCTGATTACCCATAAGAATGTACAAGTGGTAAAATATATTTCTGAATCAGTAAAATTAAGAGCCCCTACTCTGAATAACACAAGAGCTCTAGAAATAAACATTGTGCTGTTGCTACTTCTGTCTTGGGACTTTTGAGGAGAAAGGTGGGGTATAACCTAGAAATAAACATTGTGCTGTTGCTACTTTTGTCTTGGGTCTTTTGAGGAGAAAGGTGGGGTATAAATATTTTAAATACATAAATAAAAATAAATATACCCATTGTAATCTGTAAGCAGAAATGCATTGTCACTTCCGTTTTCCACTGCATAGGAAATTGGAGTCCCATAGTTAGTAGTATCAGAAGACTTCATCCAAAATGCACATGTGATCTCACTTAATGAGGGGAGGACACTGTCAAGCATAACATAGCCATAGATCCCAGAGACTTCAAAATCCAGATTAAATCTAGAAGACTGTTCTGCAACAAATAGAAAAAAGGTTTACTTCTCTTTTACACATTTCACTGTTTCGGTTGCTTGCTTAGAAATACGCGTGTCTTCAAAGGGAAAGAACAGTTAAAAGAACTGGTGCTTTTCTATGTACATCTGCTAGTGGGTTATGGAGAATGGTCCAAAAACATCTCCAATCAGTGTTAAAAGCCCTTGGATAGAACTATCTCTCCCGCTACCACTCCAAATCACAATACTGTACACCTAACACTGCCCTAATTAAGCAAGTGTGAGCTTACAAAAACACATCACAGAAGCTATAGAAAGTTAATTGTTCAGTACATTGGGCAAATAACTGATTCCAGTTTGGAACTCCAGTACCAATCTGACTCATGCAGCACCTCAGTCTTGGTAAAAAGACAAACAAACAAACAGATTATTCTGCATAGGGGAGTTTTTGTGCATTTTGTCAATTAATGCAAGCATACACAGAATTCAAGTCTTAGTGGTGAAGATGGCATCCTGGTGAAGTTCCTTTCTTAAATATTGTTCAGTGGTGCACATAATATGTTATTGTTCCACCTTTCCATAAGACGCACCAATTTTTAGAAGAAAACAGGAAAATATAATCTGTTTTCTTCGCTCCGTAAGACGCACAGACTTTCCACCCCCCTGTTTTGTGGGAAAAAAGTGCGTCTTATGGTGCGAAAAATACGGTATGTTATTGTTTCACAGTTTTCTGCACAGCAAAAGAGTTTTACTCTAAGGATGAGATTTTCAGTGAAAACGCATGGGCTGGGGGGGAGGAGAAATAATCTTTTTTTCCTCCCCTCACAGCAAGATTTCTTTGTGTGAGATTTATTTTCCTAAGCAATCTTTTTCCAAATATTTGTTTCAGTCCTAATATCCAGTGCCTGCAATTTTAATATCTATGGCACCAGGGACAAATAAATGGTTGAAACATTGTCATTTACATACATTTCTACACATAGTTCATCTTAAATTCAGCCTCTTTCATTTAGGAAACCTTGCTTTTTACCTGTGCTCCCCTGGCAACTCAGGACTTTTCAGTTATGCAGCAAACACAAAAGAAAATCCTATTGCACCTTAAAGACTAAAAAAATTAACACAACACGACTTTCTGTGGACTACACCCCACTTTGTTATTTGCTACTGTTTTTGGCTTCTGTAAATTTATTTTGATGAGTGTTTTTATAGGACAGAATACTCTTTGCTCCTTCTGCTTGTGCAACGCTCCATGGCGCAAGCAGCTGGACAGTTTCCAAATTTGTGTAAGGAAGTGTTGCTGGTCCTTGACTGTAATACATTTTTTTAAAGTATAAGATGTATTCACTCTACTGATGTGATTTCTGGTTTGTGGAACAGCACTATAGCCAGCAGAATGTTGACTCCTAAGGAAATCTGCAGAAGGTTCCTGAGATAACTTGCTGAGCACGTTTTTGCTAAAATGTCAGTTCTCTGTACCTGTTTCACACCGGCTGCCTGTAAAGCCAGGGGAGCATTTACAGATATACGAATTCAAAGCATCCACACAGGTTGCATGGTTTACACAGGGATTAGATGCACATTCATTGATATTTATTTCACACTGTAGCCCTGTGTATCCTGTGACACAGTGACACCTGTGAACCAAACATAAACACATTTTTTGTTACAACAGTTCATATAAGAAAATACTTGTGTTTTTGTAACACAGTGTATATATTTTACAGGTTATTTAAGCAAATTAGTTGACAGAGTTCAAAACAGCCTCAAAAAGTTGTGACATCAAAACCAGTGGTAAGGGAAAATCAGAATTTTTGAAACATTTATTTGAGAAATTTGTTCCTTTTAATTAATTTGGAATTATACTCAAAACACCTAAGATCTAGGCCCAAAATGGATCTAGGTCAGGTCTTCAAGCCCAGTGGTTCCCAAGCCTGGCTCCCCAAATACTACTGAACATGAAACTCTGACCATCTGCAATGTTAGCTGGGGATTCTGGGAATGGAAGTCTAACAACTTTGGAGGTCCAAGCTTGGGAAGTAGTGCAAGGGCCCATTCTGCACGCTTCAAAAAGAGCCATTATTGGTAGTGAAGGTAATGGCAGGAACTGTTGTTGCATATGCATTCTACACCTGGGGATGGTAGGACTCGAGGCAGAAGGAGGGTCTCACCTGGGAAGGGGGGATTTGTGACCACCAAATCTTGATGCAAAGTAATAACATCATGTGGTAGGGTATATGAAACTACTATTCTGGACACAATCCACAGGCAGGATGAACTTACTGGGTATTCCAGAGAATATCTGGTAAATATATGCACATATACAAGAGTATTTGAGGAACAGATGTACAGTATGCGTACATGTTTCTGTCTGTCATGTAACAGTGCATAAAAGTGCCTGTGAAATAACATATTACCACATTACTTTGTAATTTCATGTGACACCTAGAAAGATATTCACAGGTGAGATATCTGCTCCATATTTTCCTAGATGCCCTGTTTGGACGTAGCTTATTGGGCTGTGATGTATGGACAACCTGATAACAATCACAGGCCTATATTGACATGTATGTTATTTATATTTCCTCACACAATCCTTCTGTTTAAGTTCTTTAACAACTCTTCCATAAATCCATTCATTTTTTTTAAAAAAAGAATCTTTGGGTCTAGAATTGCACTGCATGGAATTCAATGCTATGAGGTCTCCTCCTCTTCCTCCTCCTCAAATATCAAACAGATCATTTTTAAAATGTTATATCACATGAAACTAATGCCTTTAGCTTCTTACCTATAGCCATTGACACCATCTTTGCATGTGCCTCCATTTTTACAAGGTCTACTGAGACATTCATTTATATTTTTTTCACACAGGACACCAGTAAATCCAGGCAGACACTTGCAATGGAAACCACCAATCTGATCTTCACATATGGCTTTGTTTAAACAGGGGCTTGAAAGACATTCATTTATTTGTATTTCACAGTGTGTACCTGAAAAAAATATATAATGAATATGGAATATTTTTTTGATAGGAAATTCTTATCTCTTATGATAAAAAGAGATACTATGGGAGCCTCAGGAACTTTGAAAGGGATTAGAAGGTATTTATTTCCAAAAAACTGCAGTGGCTTACTATATCATCAGCTTTACATGACCTATGTTAAAGCGTCAGGATTTCAACGTAAATGTCTAAGAAGTGTATTTCCAAAAATGAAAAAAGAAGGCACTGTTTAATTACTTACGTTTAAAAAAATTAAAGGTGCTTTCAGTATACTACTTTAGGCACTGTTATGTAGATGCTAGCATACAACAAATGCGGTATATAACTAACTACTACTACTAGTACTACTATAATGGTGGGACGAAGGGTGGAACTGAAGGGGAGGAGCTGGTATAAAAAAGGGGGGGTGAAGAGTGTGTGAGGGGGAGATCAGATCGGGAGAGATCTAGTGTGTGAGAGAAAGAGGCCTGTGTGCCTGAGTGTCAGTGAGAGATAGTCTATGTGGTTGATTTAAAATTGAGAAAGTGATTTACCATCGAGATTAATTTCCTGTGATTTACTTATTTTATTTCTTGTAATCAATAAACCATTTTTGTTTAAGAGAAACCCTAGTCCTTGTGATTTAAAGGATAGGTTGGTGGCAGCAAGAGTGTTTAGTAGCGTGGTGGGCATTCTGAGAGGCCTGAGTAGGAGGTGACCTCAGAGTGTCTCAACCACGTTACAAGTATACTACTTTAGGCACTGTTATGTGGATGCTAGCATACAACAAATGTGGTATATAACTAACTACTACTACTATTACTATTACTAGTACTACTACTACTAACAACAACAACAACAACTTAACAACAGCCTGCTTTTTTTATTGTAATAGCACTATCATTTACGATAGTGATAAAGTGCAGATGTCTTGTATAATGAAAACTATGAACTTTTTAAAAGTGCAAATTGAAATGTTTGCCTACAATTTTCCAAGATCCTATGGCATAGAAAATGTCCTGGTAGTGATACGTACAAAACATCTACACTTATAAAGCTACAGTTAAATGCACGGAAGCCAGTTTTGACAAAAAAAGTGGGTAACTCTTATTACAAACAGAATTTGTTTACCTGTAAATCCTTCTATACACAAGCACTGGTAAGAATTAACGCCATCAACACAGACTGCTTTATTCAGACATGGATCGGAATTGCATTCGTTTATATCTTCTTCACATACCAACCCTTCAAACAATAGTGTTACAGAATATGTTAAAATCATATGCATATATATTTATGGACTTAGAAATAAAAGACATATAATCATGTTTCCACTAATGTATATAATGCAAAAATAGCAATGAATAATCATTTTAAGAAATCTATATATTTGGTCTAGGCATAAGCACTCACACATATTCATTTTTGTTTTCAGCCCTTTCCATATTAGATGATCCCTTTTATTTTTCTGTCCATGATGAGTTCTGACACCTCAGAAAGGATCGTATGACCATTATGCTATGGCAGACTTCCACAAGTTGTGAACCCCTGACTCCCAGCAATTACTGGGAGTTTTTTTTTCAACAGGAAACTAGGTGTGAGCTTGACCTATCCTGGGTCATGAGGCCTTACAGCCCTGCCTTCCTGCAGAAAAACATCAACCAGGTGCCTGTCCAACATGTGGAACTTCCAGAATGGAGAATTCCGGGATCTAGAGGTTTTTTTAAAGAAAGGATACATATGTCGAGTTTCTGTTGCTCCAGACATAAAAAAAACTAACTACATGCACATGTGTAATTTGTTGGGAAAAAAAATCTGCAGTACTGCTTTAAGAATGCCAAGCATCTGTATCAAGGTATGTGCACAATGAGAAGTTGACTCTTTCCGACTCTGAGGACTCCATCTGCCTTTCAAGAGTAAGTCATCCTGCCACATCAGTTTGCTGTCTGGTATTCAAAGTGATTTGCTGTTTAAGCATCTGAAGCAAAAATATTCCTTGAGCATGCATGTGGCCATCCTGCCTAGGGAATTCTAAGTGTTGTAGTCGCAAAATACTCATCTGATCACCTCTAGTCAGTGGCTAATACTCCCATACAGCCCTACAGTTGTGACCATGGGCCAAGTAACCAAATACCAGTGGCATAATCCCTTCCCTCCTCTCCTGGAGATGGAATTCTTATGGCTTTCTCACCTCACTCTCAGCTGGGGTGGTGATGAACTGCAATGGGCCAAGCATTCATTGCCCCATAATACAGGGCGCCCCCTCTCTTTTTCTCAAAGCAACAATGAATGTGTCATCAGGCCCCTAGTATGCAGGTTTCCCCCACAAGCAGCATAAATATCCTGCGTGTGGACAGCTTGGAAGGTCATGTTTTGAGACAGAAATGCTTGGATCTCAACTTCTGACAGTATATTTAAACCACAATAACTTACACTAGTATCTTTTTTTTTTGTATAATCACACTGCAGCAACTTAAAAAAGACTACTGATGAATTTCCTATCAGTCCCTTGAAGGAATTTTAAAACCTCTGTTTTGAAAAGAAGTTCACAGAAGGCAAAATATTATAAAGATAACGCAAATGGGACCCATGGTTTTTTGTTTTTTTTTTTAAAGTGGGCAACCTGGATTTGATGTATTGGTTCATCATTTGTCACCTGAATAGCCTGGCTGGCACTGGCAAATGAATGTTGCAATGCCATCCTTGCAAATCCCTTTGTTGAGACAGGGGGATGACTTGCACTCATCAATCTCCTTTTCACATTTTAAGCCTAGAACACAGCCCAAAACAATACAAAGAAAAGAAAATGGATTACTTAAAAAATATGCAACACAAAACATCAAATGAATATAACACAAATAAAAATTAAAAAAGGTAATTAAACATAATTGTTTAGAAGAAGGGCCATATGAAAAGGGCCTTCATAATTCTTCTCTAGAATTGAGTTCAGTGGCACTTACATCTGAATAGACAAGTATAGCATTATCCTGTTAGTTATATTAGTGGCATAAATGCCATAATACTGACAACAACATGTGACACGGTACCTAAAACTAATAAGTTTATCATCTAAAGAAAACATTAGATAGTAATCACCAATATACAGATCTTATCAAAAATATTGGGCTCCATAGAGAAAATGTCTTTAGTGGTGTGTCACTTCCAATAAAAAAGAAATGAAAATACCTGTAGGAAATAATGCCACAAAACAAAAAAGGCAAAAATCGTGGAATTTGCAAGCCTATAAACTAGTAAGAACCAATAACTCAGAGCTAAAGCGGCCCTTCTGGAAACAGAAAACTTTTTCTAACACAGAAAAAGACCAGTGCTTGAGAAAAATGGTTCCAAATCCAGTTAAGTTATTATTGGGACAGCCAGTGGAGAATGCATAGGGGCACCTCATTATCAGACAGTTGCCCCCTAACCATCTGCTCCAGTCCCAAGCTGCCTATGGTCCCCTATTTTTTCACAAGCTGTTCCACAAGACCTTTTACTGACTCACTTCAATTTTAAAATACTATAGCTTTTATCTTTCTTATTCACCATGTTTCCCAGACCATAATGGAAAACAAAACTCACAATGGACTACAAGATGTGCTCCATCAGCAGTCATCCAAGAGTTTACAAAACACTATTAGTGTATATTTTTCCTTTCTACTTACTTGCATTAAAAGCAATCTGTTTATTGAAAAGCATGCAGCTACAGAGTTCACGTAATATTTATCAGTGAGCAACAACTGAAATGTGCTTTCCAAAACAAAAACAAAACCCCGCACGTTTTCAGACATTATTCCAACACTGTTACTTACCTTCATATCCTGGTGGGCATATGCAGATATACCCACTCCCAACCTGTTTGCAAGTTCCATTGTTATTACACGGTTGCAGGAAACATTCATGGAATACCTGTGGCCAAGGGAAATAATATAATTTATTAAGAAAGCAAACATGCAGACGGAAAACCCTAACTGTCTAGCAGTGCACTTCCCTGAGATGAAGTGCTGAGTATGATGTTGATTTAGAAGCAAACAAATGTTCCTTCCATGAAGGTTATATCGCATTTCCTATTCAATGTGGTTGGGGGAATGTATTAGCCCTTCATCAGTCAATTTCTATTCAGCATATGATAGGTCAAAGCAGTTAAATCCTAAGTTTCCTTATATTATTATTCCTTCTTTCTTACAGACCAAACTAGTATTATTTAACTTTAAAAGAAATAAAATAATGGGTAGGGGGTGGAATTAGTGATGTAACCTATGTTGTACAGCAGGGGTGGGCAAAGTGTATAGCCTACAGCATGCATGCAGTCTCAAAAGACTAAATGTGGCCCTTCAGTGCACCAAGACTCAAATCCTGCCCATTTTAATTTTATTTATAAAGCAATTCATAAAAACCAATACTGGCATGTTTCTCATTCCATTTAGGAGCAATGAGTAGTAATATATATATTATATATCACAGTGGTTTCAAATCTACTTGTGTTGCTGACATGCCTATAGAAACTAATTGGGAAAAACAAAGCCTTTCTAGGAAATTACTGGTCAAACCACATCTGGAACACTGGCCTGTTAACTACATTAATATATCATCAGAGGATACAAAGAGACTATTTGATGAATTTTAGGAACAATGAGTAGTAATTGTGCTGGTTGCTCTAATAAGCCCCTTTATATCACACAACAAAGTTACCTGGGGATCCAGTGGTATGTTACTACCTGATCTTGATATTTGACAGAAGGTCTCTCCCACAAAATAGCCATCCATCCCACCCAGTCCTTGCAGTCCTTGATGTTAAGAATTGTAATACCCAAGGAGGTAAAAAAATCTAGGAAGTGAGCTTTCTCGGTTATGGCCGCTTCTCTCTGGAACCAGCATCCTAAAGATGTTTGCGGGGCACTACTCCTCTCAGTCAGAGGTGGTGATAAACTGTACATAAGGAACAAATCTGCATTACTAAACTTAATTGACTGAATCAGAAGAACTGTGGATTGAAACCAGGGATCTTATTAGGGAAGAATGAAGCAAAAAGACAATTCTTACAGTAAAAAAGAAAAACCTAGATGAATGATAGAAGAATTTAAATTGTAAAGGATAGGCAAGAAACAAAAGTAAAAAGTAACAGAAATAGGGTCAGAACCATGAATGCAGCTTTTCCTGTACCTCTTAGAGACAAAAAGAACTAATACAATGGCCAGTGCCAAGAAATAGAGGACAACAACAACAGGGGAGAGAGGGAACAAGAGATCTCTTCCAGAAAATCCAAGAAATCAAAGAGAAATGTAAGACTAAATTGGGAATGCTGACAGACTAACAGTGAAGCAAACTAACTCACTAGAAGAAAATCAAAAGTAGGCGGAAATGACATATTGAAGACCTATCCAGATGAATTAAAGGATGACAAATACTTTTGAAGAGGAATCCTATGATGAAGAACCCACTATTCTAGAAAGTGAAGTGAAAGCTGCTCTGAAAGCACTGGGAAGAAATAAATCACCAGGGGTAGATGGGATAATGACAGAATTCTTTCAAGCCACAGAGACTAAATCCTAACAAGATGCCAATGCATATGGAAAACTAAACAATGGCCCACAGACTAGAAATGTTCAATATACATTTCAATCCCCCCAAAAAGAGATGCCAAAGATTATGCTCTAATTTCCCATGCAAGCAAAGTGATGCTCAAGGCATTAAAACAAAGGCTTTTAACCTTATTTGGATGATTTAACTCAGAAAACAAATATTTCAGGCAAAACCAAAATAAAAATAGACAAAAATGTTATGGCACCTTAAAGACTAACTGCTATACTTTAATGTGGACAGGGCACAAGTAGTTGATACTGTGGCATTGTGCCCAGAAAAAAAAACAGTCTCTTTGTTTGGGGACCATTATAGATGTATAAATATTTGCCATGTAGTCTCACAACTAATCAAGAAGGTGCTAGTCGCACAGCCAGTTATGTGATTGGCACCTTGTTCATTAGCTGCAGTTTGCCATCATGACCTGGGATTTCACCTGCTTCCTGGTATGATTCCAGCCATGGGAGCAAAATAAAAGAGTGGGCACATGCAAACCTGAGATTTGTGCAGGTTCCTTTCAAAATGGCTAAATAATGGCTTAGTTTCATGATCAAACCAGGTTTCAGTTCCAGCGCTTCCATATTTCGCCAGTCCTTAAAGGAATGTGTTAATATTTGTTGTAAGATCTTTGAAAACAGGATGCCTCCCTCCCTGCTTTATCAGAACACAAACATCTCAGAGGCCAAAATCATCTGGTATAATTTGCAAAGGCACAGGGGAAACAATGTTACCAGGGTCTCTTTAAACTGCCAATTAGAGTTCCTGCTCGGATTCTGAGTTGCCCCCAAAGTCATGCACAGTGAGGAATTGAATCAAGGGACACCACTTTCCCTATCACAGCATAAATTATGTAGAGCCATGGTTCCAACCTTGGGCAACCCTGGTGTTCTTGGACTGCAGCTCCCAGAAACCCTGGCCAGCACAGCTAGTGGTGTAGGCTTCCCGGAGTTCCAATCTAAGAACACTTAGGCTGGGAACCACTGATGTAGAACATTTTGGTCACATCGTCTCTTCATAATGAATTTTAATCGTAAGTGCTCTGTGGCTGATTTGCCTAAAGATGGAGATGTACATGTATTAAATAATTAAATAAACTTCAAGGTTTGTTATGTTGTCAAGTCATATCTGACCCTAACAGGCCTTTCAGAGTAAGTGAGATATTTAAAGACTGCCTTTTCGGTTCCATGCCTCCCCCCCCCCCAAGTTAGTTTCCATGGCTGAGTGGAGATTTTAACCCAGGCTCCTTGGGTCCTAGTCCACCACACCACGTATCCATATTCCTGCTTAGTTACATATGATTTTATACTTTCATATGTGTGCAGAATTTCACCCAGTCTGAATTTTACATTGACTCTGTCACTTGTCTAAAATCTAATGAATTTTCAGCCACTAGTGAAAGGTGAAGGCAAAGGATTCTGAAAACAATGACAGTGAAGTAGAAGAAGGAACCTAGCACCTAGAAAAATATCAGAAAGCAGAAATATGTTTACAATTAGTGAAAAATCATCAAACTATAAGATACTTTTTGATGGTCAGATTTGGCTTCAATCTTATATCTGCAAAGCTCTTGCTGAAACTACAGGACAGTACCTCAGTGTGGTGTGCTAGGTTACAAATGGGGAAACCAGAGAAATCCCAGATTAACTATAATGATCACTAGCTGAGTCAGATAAAAACTACCTGCGCTCCTTTCTGAGTATGAGTGCAGGTATAAGTGGACAAAGTGTCTGTGATATCCATTGCTTTGAGTTCTTTCAATTCATAAAGAAGTTGCTACCTCCCCTGTTAAATAGGGACAAAACGTTTTGTTTCACTACATTATGTTGAATCCATAGGTTATGGTCTTTTCTAATACTTGCCTTGACCAAGACTTTTTCATGTATTAGTCTAGTCATCTACGTGTTATGAGTGCAGCTGAAGATCCGGAACCTGAGGGGTTAACTAGCTGAGAATGCTGAGCAATTAGAAATACAAACAGCTGAATTGCCTCCAGATTCTCCTCCCCCAGTAGACAGGCTGAGAGCCAGGCTTCAGGGAAGACTTATGATGAAAAGGTCAGAGGATTGCTTGAAGGCTGCCCGCAGAAACATGCAATCAACTAGCCCTGAGTTCTGACAGGATGAAAAGGCTTCCAGCAGTTCAAGGACTGTTTTACTATATAAGCAGTTCTCAGATGGCTGGAAGTCCGTGGAAGCAACAAGTCAAGTCTCTGGTTCGCATCCACACTCCTGACAACCTTGAACCTTGTTCTCTGGACCGTTGGCTTTGGGCTCTGACCCTGGACTAAGTTGTGTGAGTTGGCTTTGGTATTTGGATATTGGTTCTGCATTCTTTGAATTTCTGACATAGAAATGGCTTATTGGACTCTGCTGTAGTAACCCCTGGGAACGTGACACTATGCTTGGGTTACATGTCACCTCCCAGTGATTGCCAAATATTAACCAGGAAACATGGTGCTACCTCTGTGTCACATTATGCTGCTCCTCTTACATATCACAAATGCCTGACTACTGAGCTGACACCATGCATCTGATCAACTGGGTTGCTGTCCACAAAAGCTTAAAAATGTTAGTCTTTAAAGTGACTCATGATTCTTTGTTATAAAACATTGTAATAATGCTACAGAACACATCAACTACAGTATGTGTTTTTGCACAGAATATATTTTCACTTTTAGCATGTGCTAGAAAATTATTTCTATTCTTGCCTGGCTGCTGATTTTGTACTCCTTCTTGGTATTTTCTGGAGCAGCTGGGAGTGCTATGCTTTCTTCTGCTGCAGAGAAAGTAGAGCCGAAACCTAAATGGAATTGACATGAAAGCAGTTGTAAAAATCTTATATTTTTATATTACACACACACAAACAAACTTTTATATTATATACAAGCTATTTTAACAGCAAACTTGCACAGAAATGAGGCAAAATTTATCTCTTCTTTTTCATCTTGCTGCCACCACATCTATTTTGGCATGTATAGTCAGGTGAAAAGGAAAATATACCCTCTTTGAATTTGATGGGCTTATGTATCATGACATAATAAAAATCATCTGGTGCTTAGCAGGTCTGAAAATTAGGTAAATGCAACCTCAGATGAACACGAAAGATTACATATTACACTGTGTCATGATTTATTTAACAAAAATAGAAACAAAATTGAGAAGCCATGTGTGAAAAACTAAGTACACCTTATGATTCCATAGCTTGTAGAACCACCTTTATCAGCAATAATGTGAAGTAATCATTTTCTGTATGAGTTTATCAGTCTCTCACACTGTTGTGCAGAAATTTTGACCCACTCTTCTTTACAATGTTGCTTCAGTTCAGTGAGGTTTGTGGGCGTTTGTTTATGCTAAGGTTCCGCCACACCCTTTCAATAGGGTTGAGGTCTGGACTTTGACTGGGCCATTGCAAAACTTTCTTTCCTTTTTCATCCATTCTGCTGTTGATTTGCTGGTGTGCTTGGGATCTGGCTTGCATCCAGATCGCCATTGCAAAACTTTCTTTCCTTTTTCATCCATTTTGCTGTTGATTGCCTGGTGTGCTTGGGATCAGCGTCCTCTTGCATGACTCAATTTTGGCCAAGCTGTCAGATAAATGGCCTCACATTAGACTCTAGAATACTTTGGTAAACAGAGGAGTTCATGGTTGTCTCAATTGCTGCAAGGGTCCTGTGTGCTGAAATGTTGTGCTTGATTTTCGCCAAACATGGCATTGTGCATTATGGCCAAACATCTCCACTTTGGTCTCATGTGTACAAAGGACATTGTTCCAGAAGTCTTGTGGTTTGTCCAGATGCAACTTTGCAAACCTCAGCCATATTGTCATGTTCTTTTTAGATAGGTTTTCTCCTGGGAACCCTTCCAAACATACCATATTTTGTTCAGTATTCTTCTAATTGTACTGTCATGAGTAGAGATAAGGGTATTCATATACGAATACAAATGCTCCCGCACAGGTGGACATAGCAAGGGTCAAGCCCTCTGGGGTCAGACTGTCCACTCACCCTTCCGCTGCCGCCTCAGGCTTCATGCTCCCTTCCTATCATTCTAGAGTTTGCAGTTGACTAGCCACTCCTGGCAGGAGGTGGAATGACAATCCTCCCTGCCAGGTCGAAGAGTGGCTCACCAACTGGGTGCTCCAGAACAATTGGAAGGGAGCACAGAGCCTGCGGCAGAAGCGGAAGGGTGAATGGACATATCCACCTGTGTGGGGGATTTGTATACAAATACAAATACCCCCATCTCTAGTCATGACCTTTAACATTTAATAGGCTAATTGAGGCTTGTAGAGTCTGAGATGTAATTCTTGGGGTTTTTTTGCAATTTCTCTGAGCATTGTCTGGTCTGACCTTGGGGTGAATTTGCTTGGATGTCCACTCAGCAAATGTCTTGAATGTTTTCCACTTGTGAGTAATATTCCTTACTGTAGAATGATGGACTTTAAATTGTTTGGAAATGGCCCAAATTGATAGGCAGCAATAATCACTTCTCTATAACCATTACTGATATTTTTCCTCCTTGATATTGCTACAGAGCATCAAACTGATAAAACTTTTACAGAGGTGGTCACAATTGCAGATGATCGAATTACCCAAGGACATTTGGTTAGCACTACCTGGCTGCTACTTAGCTTCTTAATTCCTATGTAAGTAGTAACGGTGTACTTAATTTTTCACACATGCCTTATCAAGTTTGGCTTTATTTTTGTTACATCAGTCATGACACCATGTAATCTGTAATGTGTTATTGCTCACCTGAGATTGTATTTACCTAATTTAAGACCTGCTAAGGATCAGATGATTTTTATCACTCCTGATACATAAAACCATAGAATTAAAATAAGGTGTACTTTTTTTTTCACATGTCTGTAGCTCAACATCCAAACCCATGAGCATCTTAATTACCAGAGAAGTCAGCTCAGTTAGAATGACTAGATCTACTACATAGAATGTAGGCAATGTCTGTTAAGAAAAAACCAAGACGAGCTAAGGCTCCTTAATTTTTAAAGAACATTATTATCATCTAAGATATTTTAGAAAAGATGTCAAAAAATGCTTACAAAGTGCTCATGGACATCTGACACTCACGTTAGCTGTGAGGATTAGAAAATTAGTATAGGCCAAAAGCAGTGTCTTAAAAATCTTTTCTATGTCCTGAAATTGTACATTAAATTATATTAATTGAAAATATTATCTAAATATTAATACTATTTATTGATAGAAAAATATGTGTCTACTATATAGGAATGAGGACTGAGACAAAAGGAAAGCTACATGTGGAAATAAACAGGTTGTACTTTCATTAGAATCTTATCAAACAAGCATATCTCATTATTTAGACTATCATACAGCAGTCCAGTCTACCTAGACTATTTTATTTATTTATTTATTTTTGATTTATATACTGCCATCTGGCAGCCAAAGCCACTATGGGCGGTTTACAACATGTAACATAAAAACAAAATAACGAAACAGCAAATAACATAGGGGCGAAAATCAAAAGTCATAAGGTGTGGCGAGGATAAAATTACAATACAATTAAATTAAAAGCATAGAAAAATATGAAGAGAAGAGAATAAACACAAGTTGTCTATTAAAAAACAAGGAAAAGGCCATGTGGTCTCTAAGGTTGTCTACACTGTCTTCATCCATTTTTCAAAGGACTAATCACCCTAATTGCAGGATGAGTTTGAAGGCCACAAAGCCTTACTACTTCTGTCCATTGTTTTGTCTCTGCCCTGTACAAATGAGTCATGGAACCTGGGCTCTTATATGTTCCCTCCCAGTGAGGGCCCAGTCCAGCTTTTCATTAAATTCAGAAACTTCTGTTAGTAAGAACGGGTGAAGAGAGACTGTGCCTTTCATGTTTTAGAGAAAATAACTTACTTGAACAATCCGCTATGGATCTGGCCCCAATCACTGTGGTAGTCCCATAAAATGGACAAGACAGGCAGTAGGACTTCCCTGGGTCAGGTTGATAATAGTCCCTGGGACAAGGGTGGCAAGGCATTAAACCAGAACGAGAGAATTCTCCAGCTGGACAGGGTACTGCAAAATGCAAACAAACAGTTTTAGAACAAATGCTCTACCATCTCCCCTGCCCCCGATTCATTGATAATAAACATTTCTTTTACAAAATACAGGAAATTCCTGTGATCAATGGGAAGGTTGCATGGGATGGGTGGGGGAGGAGACTGGCTATTTATAATTCAGGGCCAAACTAGATATCTGGCACTTCTTAGATGATAAGCGGAAACCCACTTGTAGATATTAAGTGGACATTTGACCAGGAGGTATCTGTCAAATGCCTAGTCTGGAACTTGGGCTTATATTTGCAGACCAATCTTATGTGTTTTTCCTCAGAAGTAATTTTCATTGAATTCAGTGGGATATTTTGATAAACACATTTGAAGGCTTTTGTTTTTATAAAATGCCTAAGATCATATTGTTGCATGTTTTACAAGACACAACATTCATATCCACTGGCAATCTTTCTTTTTGACCAGTGCCAGCAAATATTTTCAGAGTGCCAAAATACACAAAAGGAGCATAAAAATTATTTTTCAACAGCCTGATTTTAATTTTTCCATTACCTACATGTTCTTCCATCGGGAACTGCTGACATTGGGATTGCATAACATGCCACCCATCAAGGCAAATGCAGCTTACTTACTAAATGTAGCAGCCTGTTAATTTTTGCAGTCCCAGAAAGCACATAAAAACAGGTTATCATACTACTAAAGAACCACCTTAATTATCATTTGACAAAAAGCAGACAAAGGGAGTAAGTGAAAGGCTAATTTCCCTGATCCTAGAAATGCAGCCAAAAGAAAACAAATAATAATAATGATAATCTTATGCCCTATCCAGGCAGAGCTTGTGGGGGGTTTATTTCTGTATCATTGTGATAAGGGTGGGCAACATAAAGACTTGTGGCCCCAATGTGGCTCACTAGCTATTATTATACTGTCACTTGTGGTGATAAAATGGGTTCACCCCTTGTTTTTTAAAAGAACCAGGCACATGAAAACTTCCAAAAGACAATTCATCTTAAAAGGAAAGGTGTATCGCCACTCTACTTCTTGTCTTCATCTTAAAAAGTGGAGACCTTTGCAGGTGCCAACAATTAGTCAATAGCTTTTTAAAGAGAGAAACAAGATGTGCAACTTGTGTTTAAGATGGATCACATTTCCTGGAGGCTGTGGAGAGAGTGAGATTCTCTTCAAAATCAAGTCCATGGCCCCACACACCTTGTTTACAAAAGAAAATAAGAAAACCGCGGTAACGTTGTACAGCACTCTAGTGAGTTCAGGTACAACTCCCAGCTTCAGTGCCTAGTCCTGTATTGAAGCATAGGTCCAGTGGAACCCGTAAAACATCCTCCTCCATTTTAAAAAATTCCTTTACAAAATTAACGAGTGCATGAACAAAACAGAGGAAAGATATGCTGCACACTGCGAGTCAAAAATATTCTACTTATTCAAAGAGCTGGAATGTGGGGTATTTAGCAACATGCTGTTTCCTAGAATTTAGATGTCACAAACCTCCACATGCTGATATATCCACAGCTCCTCTTTTGACTGTTGAAATATTTTCTGGGCAAGAAATGCAGTGCTTTGATCCAGTTGCAGGCTGATATTTGCCAAAAGGACATGATTCACAGATCTCAAGGCCATTCGGAGAATAGGTTCCTGGCTTGCACTGAGCTAATTATGTAAGAACAATACATCAGAATTAAGGGACAGCTAACTTTAAATAAGCATCAAGGTGAACAGCCAAAAATCCAATCTGCCAATGACAAGTTGACCCATAAAACAAATTGTAACTGACTATTTATAACCACAAATCCGTGTATAGTAAAACAGTTAGCATGAAGCATGTGTCACCAGTACTAATGTTTAAAGTGAAAGAAAATGGTTTATTTAGTTTAAATTACAATTGTAACTGACTATTTATAACCACAAATCAGTGTATAGTAAAACAGCATGAAGCATGTGTCAGCAGTACTAATGTTTAAAGCAGGGGTGTCCAACTTTTCACCTTCCCTGGGCCACATTAGAAGATGAAAATTTGGTTTGAGCCGCACATAAATTCGGTTTGGGCCGCATGGGGGGGGCAGCCCTAGCCGTCCTCCGCAGCCCTGCTCCAAGCGCGCGTACCAGCAGCTGCGATC